CAAATTATAAAACCATTTTATAGCATACAATGCACCTTGAATGACACTTGGAGATTTCCCTCCGTCGATCAAACTCGTCAAGTATAAAGCTATGTGAATAGGCTCAGCCGGAATCGCTCTGCCACCCTCTGTGGTAATGAAATCTTCCCATCTCTTGAAGGTTGAATAATACTTGTTAACAGTCCCATCACTTCTCGAATGCACTAGATGAGATGCCATGCTATCTGATAGTTTCCGAAGCTTGCTAGTAACTGCTCCCGATGCCTCTGCTTCATCTGAAACCGCCTTGCGTAGACCTAAACCCGTTAAACCATAAATCATGTCTAAAAATGAAATTTCACAGCTAACATTGTGAACCCACGTTTCGGAGAACCGAAAATACCATTATTCCCTCTCCCCTTCTCCACTTCATTACAGGAAAATGTGAAAAACTCCCTGACAAACGATTTAAATTTCCCTCCTTGTGAAATTTTTGGCCAATAAGGTGCAGATTTCCACTGCGGCACGATTAGCGCCTACGGCCTTCTCCTGTATCGCTTTATCGATAACTCTCGCTGCCAATCGAGGTGGAGGTACCCACCAATTAACAGCATTACTCCACGTCTGCTTAAATGCATCGACCCTTTTTAAGGTGGGACAACCCCATCTTGAATTAAATTGTGCACACTTTGTGTTGTAATCACAAGCAAACCTGTCGAATGTGTGTGGCCCCCATTTTCGATCTAAAAAATCAAAAAATGTTGAACTAATACACCATTCATCACTGTCTGATATTCTGCTAAGACTATCCGCCCTCTTATTCCGTTCCCTTGGAACCCAGACTACGTCTATACCCAAATGATATACCTCACATGTCTGGTGAATATCAATCGCAATCTCCTGCAATTGTCCGTTTTTACTGCCTTTCTGCACAATACTTGTGACATTTCTATTATCCCTATAACAACGAATGTTATGGCCTTCCAGGCATGGTCCAAGTGATTTCAGCGCTCTATTTAGAGCTTCCATCTCTCTCCATGAAGAACTATATTTTGATTCAAACTCTCTCCAAGAGCCAACCCCTTCCAGGTTTAAATCCTCACAAATGAACGCTCCATAACCTGTGCCTGAAGCATCAGTAAACATATTGAAACTACACGACTTCATTTGTGAAATGGATATGCCATTAAATCTATCCATGTTCTTGTACCAAAAAATTAGCTCTTTTTCTGCTTCATCCGACAGTAATAGTGGAGCATTCCACGATGCCCGACTATTAATACACTTGAAAACTTCTCTTGTCTTCAATTGAACCATCGAACCCACAGCGGGTTGCATAGATTATGATCTGCCCAGCAACTCCTGCCAGATCCCGCACTGGAATCAATCTCTTCCCCTGTTGGCTTTCACTAGTATACTTTGGATAGATTGTTTGCATTTACACATCCTTTCCTTTGTAATTTCTACCATCCCATCTATGAATTTCCAAGACAATCCCAACCAAATCGCCTTATTTTGGGGCATCCATTCACACTTGTCTTCGGCAAGAATAAAACCAAGCTTGCCCAAATCTTAATTTTAGCTGTGTGTGAAAAGGCTGTAGTCTCGCTAACTTCATTAGCTTCGTCTATGTTACTACATCCTGCGATACCATCGTCAAGAAACATGACCACCATTTTCCCCTGTGATCTCCAGTATGTTACTGGAACCCTGGTTACTTTTGTAGAGATGTAACCGGCGGTGGAAATTCCAAAAGGTAATACATTAAACTGAAAGCATCTTACTTTCCCCTCAAAATCCCAAGCAAAACCAAGATATTGCCTGTGCTCTTCGAATATTTCTATGTGATGGTATGCCGACTTCAAATCAAAAGTACAAACATAATCCCCTTTTTGGAAAATATCCTTACCAACTGATGCGTCCTCGTACTTAAACTTATTCTTGTATACAAATGCGGATTGACATGCCTACAATCCGATACAAGCCTGCATTTACATTTTTTCTCAGAAACTGTCAAGGGATTTACCACCGTGGGTCTTGATTCTACTTCAGATACACAACCTGTTTCTAACAACTTTTCAATTTCATCCTTAACGAAAACTGAATGGATCAATGATGACCTGTTATTATGAAGTTCTTTGCTAACTGGCAAAGTATGCAACGGTAGTTTATATTCGTTTTCGACAACATCCAAAATCTCTTTACTAGCCCCAAACTTTGACCATGTATCCCAATTTTGTTTCAGCCTCCCGACAGGAGAAGCTTTCTTATTTCCCGAACTCGAAATTTCATCATCAGGATTTGTATATCCTTTTCCTCCCATGTTCTCTGAGAGCTTTGATTCTTTTCCTATATGATGAATCAATACAAAATCACTTATCTGATCTCTGCTTGCCCTGGCCTGACACTCGTTCCTCCAGTGTCCCGGTTTCCCGCATGCAAAACATAGCCCTGGCTTCTTTCGCTCATCCGTAGACATCGTAGTATAGACCCTCCAGGGCCATGACGAATAGATGAGTAAAACTCCTGCCCCTTGGCGTTGGAATTCCACGAAGCCTTGCTCCCGTCATAAGGCTGGAAACGTCTCGGCGCCATTTTCTTTACTTTCTTGCCCTTCCTCTCTGCTCTCGTTTCTGCTTTCAGCATGCGCTTTTCATCTTCTGAATCATCGGCCAATGTGTTCCTCTCATATTCGGCAACCAACTTCCATCCTGGCTAATGGCGAACTGTCCGCCATTTTTATCAATTTCTGCCTCTTCTCAACTAAGTCTATACCTTCAACGATTTTGCCCTTCGCACCTGCGACAGCTCCTGACGTATCATTGGATTCGTTGAGACAATCCTCGGCCTCTTTCAGCTTCCTATGAATTTTCACATTCACTTTATGCTGCTCTTCGTTGCCTTTACGCTGAAACTTAAAGTTTTCAGTGTGCATTTCTTCTATCTTTGTAACTTGTGCGTCACTTAGCGCTTTCTGGTTATCATTTATAGACTGGTGAAAATTGCTCAACCTATTAGATATTAAACCGTCCAAGTCTGTTAGCAATTTATTTTGCGACTGGCTCAATTTTGAATCTATAAGCTCAGAAACTGTTGCCGGATCCATGTTTGAAAATAGTCGTAATGTAGCTGGAGACTCTTAAAAAAAACGTGCTAGTGTGCGGTTCTTGGAAAGCTAGAATAGGGACTTTTAGATTGAGTGGACGCGAGAACACGACGAACGCCGACTGATCATGCATGTCAACCTACTCAACTGCCCATGTTGACTACAATTAGAAATCTTTTAGATCGACGATATACATGCATGCAGGAAGTGACGAACAAAGAAAGAGGACAAAATATACAGTTCCTCATTCTATCCTCAACAATAGGCCACTTTCGTAATGTAACCAAATTTAATGCATAAGTCTTTGTAAAGTACCTCAATACATATTATTTTATTCACCTGATAAGAATAATAGTATTTCAATAGGCAGAATCCGAACTGCATACATTAGTTGTTACCAGGTTGGACAAACGTTATGGCTTGACCTACCTAGCAACACTTAATATATGCAGTTGCATTATGACTAATGAAATACTATTATTCTTATCAGGTGAATGAAATAATTTGTATTGAGGCACTTCACAAAGACGTATGCATTAAATTTGGTTACATTACGAAACTGGCCTATTGCTGTGGTAGAACATCCCTTCACTGCTATTATGTAAAAATGTGTAGAACAGGTGAATATGCATGTGACACCTGTTCTACACATTTTTACATAATAGCAGGAAAGGGATGTTCCTTTGTCTACCTGAGTAACTGTATATTTTATGCACACGCGGCATATACTAGTACCGTACTAGATTTAGGAAAATCAAGGTTGACACATTCTCGATCGCCGACTGAGACGATGTGACGCATGCGCAGTGACTTAAAGTGACGTCACACGTTACAGTCAAAGCTGTCGACGTGCAAATCTAAAAGTCCCTAATGACTTCTCTCTACACACCACACCCTTATCTCGCATCCTCTCTTTTCATATTCAAATGAAACACCTTCGACGCAACGGAATTGAATAATTCCGTCACGCATGCCGGAGAACAATTAGTGTTCACCACTTATTGGCCGTATAAACAACATTTGCCAGCTATACGATGTAACGCTGGCAAATACATTTACTGATACCGGTAATCCTTCTGAGGAAAGACTACTTGTATTCCTGGAATTTTCTTGGTGGCATGTATACAGTGCGTCCCAGAAAAAAGAAACCGAGAATTGTTGAGGTTTGATCATGACTTAATCACAATTATAATTGATAAATGACACATCTTTGGAAAGTATAGATCCTCCTCTTTCATTATTTTGATGCAAGTCATATAATGCATATTTCACGCATGAGTGATTAAAATGAATTTGAAGAGAGGAAACCAAAAAGTCATTTGGCGGACGGTATCTTAATTTCAAGGAGAAAATCTCATTTCTAGAAAGTTGAGTTTCTGCCCTTATTATGACACCTCAATCAGGAAAAATGAGCAAGGAATAACAAAGTTCTGTTTGTTTAAAGTAGTGCTTGCATTTCCACAATTTGATTAAACGAGTTCGTTTTTACTGGCTGCCTGCCCTAGCAACAAACAGAGTTGACAAAAGACTTATCTCCATTTCGTTGACAATCAGCCGTAGACGAAGGACTTCAATTGATTGAGATTGGGGAAACTGCATGCACTCATCGAATAAATACTAGCCCCAACAAGACCTTTTCAGTGATGCGGTCTCTGACCACATGTTCATGTTTACAACCTTCTTCTTTTGTTTTGGCTTCGCAATTCGTTCAACTTTCACACGTACGGTATCTCTAAATACCTTGGTGTACAACCAAAAAGGAAATTTCTACACGGCCACAAGGCGTGTTCAAATATTATCGAAATCAATCATCGATGTCTGATGAGAATTTATAAAAATTTGCTCAAAATTAAAGATTATTCCTTTAAACCGTGATCAAGTTCAACCTTGACTTAAATGATGACACCATCACTCATTCATGTTTTATTTCTTTTTATTCCGATATGAAAGATTACATTCGAATAAAATATACAAATCTCATACGAATATAATTATATGCCTATATGTTATTAAAAAAGCATAGACCTAAATAGTAAACCCTTTAAAGATTCATTGTTTTCAATAACTTGTCCCTCAAAACTAAAAAGTAGTTATACTTGAATTCATCATCTAAATGCACAAATATAGTTACAAGTATTTACAGTGGTGACTCGAAATGTACACAATTCTTTAGCAGACGAATGAATGAAGGTTGCTTATCAACGCTCTGTTTCACAGCCTCACGAAAGTTTAAACAGAAGAAAGCATTTCAGTTTTATATATACAAACAGACTGCGAAAACATATCTTTAATTTATTGCAATCAGAATAATAATATTTTTCCACCTTCCCCTCTTTCTTTCTCTCTCTCACATTCTCTCTCTCTCTCTCTCTCTCCCCCTCTCTCTCCCCCTCACTCTCATGGATATATCTCAGCGACTTTACAGGGGGGGGGGGGGTTGTACTTTTATACTCGGATCTAGTTTGGTTTTGACGAAGGTGTGCACTGTGCAGTTGAAGCGTCCAAACCAATTCCGAGTTTGGATAAAAAAGCGAAATGAGATTAACTAGATTTTACCTGGGATTTGCACTTTAGCGATATTATGGATGAAGTAGGAACCGTTGTTTAAGGTCAATATTTAAAAGAGGGGCAATTAATTTTTATGGATTTTCTAGTAAAACAAGATCATATCTCATGTTTAGGGATTTTGTTGTAAAAAAAGCTGCCCAAAATAGAGCGGAACATCTTTGTATACTAGGCGGATACCCTCACCCCTCACCCCTCCCCCTCCCCGTTTTATTATATTTCTAGGCATCAAAACTTGAGATGGGGGGGGGGGGGGCAAACGTCATATCCGCCCTATCCTAAACCACCTCACCTCGCTTTAAAAACCTCCTTTGAAATTATGATTCCTTTAAAAGTTAAGGCAAGAAAAGAACACTCTTATATATGAATTTGCCAATTCGCATAACAAATATGTTTTTTTCTTGGCAATACAATGTACGTACATATAACATTTAAAAAAGGCTAATCACACATGCCAAATCACCTTTGGAGCTGAGCGATTTGCTATATGAACCTATATCGAGAAAATAACTATAAAGCGTTACCTATAAATTTGGAATATATTTTATTGTCTCTTTCCAGAATATGATTGTGACAATATGGTTCATCCTTGAGAGATAACGTTTATATCTTCTTAGAACTTAATTGATCGATCTCTCCGACTCTTTATATAGACTCTGACTATTAAGAAAAAAACATAATTCTCACATGAAAAGGGGTAATACAAACTATTACAATTTGGGGGCAAAAAGTGTATAGATTTTTGCAAATGGTGTCATGTCGTTTACATGATGATGGGCGCTTGATCATCATCAACAATATCTCCGGAACGACTGGTATAGCAGACTAATACGATGAAGGAGATGATTAACATGATGACCCACATAACGGCACTAATACTCGTCGCAAACTGTAAGATGGGAGAGTAAACAATAATGATAACAGATATGAGTAATATATAAAAAATACAATTTGTTGTTTCTTGACTATAAAATAATAATTTCCCTCCTAAATTAATCGTATTCTCCATGAGGAATGAGAGGCTACACACAATAACTTCTGTTTTCATGATCTGATTTGCATCACGTTATTGGTATAGGTATAGACGTAGTGAAATGGGAAAGGATGACATACCATGTCGACTCAATTTCTATCAAAAAAACAATGTCATTCTTCTATAGCACTAGACATTCTTTAATCATGTAAAATATGAGTAAACTGACATTATTTTGATCCGATGTAGAGGGGGAAGCCCCGCTACAGAGGGTCGGGGGGGGGGGGGGGGTAGAGACAGAATCAGACAATGTGCATGTGAGAAAGATTATGTTTATACGTATATATATATATATATATATAATAAAGAGAGAGAGAGAGAAAGACTTTTGTATTACTTTGAACAAAGATATAGATAGAGAGGGAGAGATAGAGAAACATATAGATAGACAGAGAGACGCAACGACATAGATGGGAGGGACTATACCTGAGCCGTTAAGAGATACACATAGAAATGCGATGCATCGTAGTCGTAAATTTTCCAGTATTTATCCCGCTGCCACTCTTTGCACCTAAAAAGAATGCAAAACACAAAAACTGTTAGAATAAAATAAAGTTTTGAGAACCTCTACATTCATTCATTCATTCATTGTCTAGTTACGAATTATAGTTTATATTCTTAATTTCTCCTTGAACGATTATGTAAACAGGAAGTTAGATTTTGGTGCACTCATTTATACTTATAGTGCCATGTCTTTATATTTTGGTTCTGTGTCAATAATCTCTAACTAAAATAAACGAAATGAATTGTGGTGTCGTGAAATAAATATTTTAAAGCTATCTCAAATATTCGCTCCGCTCTAGCCAAGCTTTCTGTCGAATTCAAGGGATTTATTCAATCATCAACCACGTTTATCGCAAAAATGGTTGGAGTTAAACATTAATCTGCTCGCTTCTGAAATTATCCTTGAAATACTCACGTATCGTAGTCATGATGATGATTATCGACCAGCAATACCAATCCCTTGCACAGTTTCTGAAATCCAAAAGACAAGATACCTGCTGATACGCCAACTACGACCATCAGAACACCGAAGATTATCGTCTTCAAGATTGGAATGAACCGACTGCAAGAGAAAAGTGTGTGAAAGTCGCGATTGAAAACGAGGGGTCGGTAAAAAGAGAAATCTATAGCTTTTCATCAGAAGGGCAAAATGTAAGATGACCCCCCCCCACCCCCTCACATCCGCATTCTATGAGATAAAGGGGAAGACAAATTATGACAGAATATAGACAGTCAGCCTAAAGGTCGTTAAACCATGACATTGATCTCCAAGTAAAATGGAGAGTCATTTTCATTTTTTGTTTAAAAAAGTTACGTTACCATCTTTTTATTTACCATTTTTTTTGCCAGGGTTGGGCCCATTAAGACATGGCCTTGGTATAGTAACCCCGGCCCCCACTCAGTGTTATTTAGGGTACGCATAAATTATGCGTGTTCCCTCCTTTTGAAAACACCCCCTATGTCCGGTGTGTAAAGTCAATTTTGTGTACTACGAGCCGGACTTTGGTGCGTGAAAAGTACCCCTTTACCGGACATTTTGGTAACACGCATGCGGTCATTCCGACCCCGAGTGAGTGAGGGGGGGGGGGGGGGGTAGTAGCTAGGGTAACGTTCATTAACAAGAAATGTTAAATCCCTTTTTTCCTTCTTCGTACTCACGTCAGTCGTTTCTTCATCAAAAGCTCGACGGAAACGTAGATCATGGTTATCAGGGAAAGCCCGGCAGATACGGCCTGATGACAAATATAAAGATAATTGAGTCAAATAAAAATACAATTCATATTTCGCATATACATCACGGGAAAGAGTGTTTAACGTAAAATACTTGCAGACTCTTCAAACACATGAGAATCAAGAACATGTTCATTACAATCGAGTTTGAATCTGGAGCTTTTTGCAATTTCTCGAGATAACAACGCTGAACAATACGTTTTGGTATCACTAGAATAATTTAGAAGATTTATAATAAAGTCCCCAAATTGAAATTGAAATTGAAAAAAAATTGAATTGAAATTGAATTGAAATTGAAAAAAAAAATTGAAATTGAACAAGTTTAGTTCTGATGCGCCCCGTCTAACAAAGACTTGCGATTGATCCATATCAATCGCAAGTCCTCAAATCAATAGCAAGTTTGCAGTCTCCTATCTCTTATGTACATAGTTGAGAATGATATCAATCGCCAATAAGTTGCAATTGATATTAGCCTAACTGATATCAACACGTGGTAAAACGGGGCTCTGGTGTTTTGTTCTGGAATATGAAAATACGGTTGACGTGCAAATCAGTGATATGAAAAGTGTTTGGAATCCCGTGTTATCAGAGTGACAAAAGTTTCTCTAGTTTTCAAATTGTAGAGTAGAATCAGATACAAATTATATAGCTGCTGTTTGGTGACTTTTCAAATGCCCGAATGTGAAAATGTGTCCACGCAAAATATTCACTATTCCATTTAAAACTGTGATTATATATTCGCTATTGAGAGTGAGCGTTGAGAGTGGATTTTCTCCCCCTTTTACTCCTAAATTTCCTGACCAGCAACAACAAAAAGGTATAATAATATGCCAATTTGGTTTCAAAAGAGGAGGGGGTTACGGGCCGGTTGTGCCCCCCTCCCCCCCCCCCCCCCAAAAAAAACTCCACCAATACGGTTACGATATCAAATGTCAGTATTCTTACATTGGCACTGATGATATAATTGCAGGCGATGGTATCATTGACTACGAAGTTGAAGTAGCCTATGTCTTCAACGGTCGGGAATAGAGGGCATTCGCCTTGGAAGTCATTCTGCAAAGGTTATTAAACAAAATGTTTAAAATGTCTCGTTTTCATAATGTAAAGCTTTTCCTCATTTTTGTAAATACTACTATACTACTACTAAAAATGATGATGATTATAACAATAACAATGGTAATAATAATGATAATACTAATAGTAGTAGTACTACTACTACTACTACTTATACTATACTACTACTATTACTACTACTACTGCTACTACTAGTACTACTACTAATAATAATGATCATAATAATCCAAAAATTACAACAATAATAAAAATGATAATATTAATATTATTAAAAGTAGTAATGAAATTTAAAATAAAATGACGATAATAATTATAATAATAATAATACAAATTAAATATAATAGAAAGAAAAGAAAAAATATTGAAAATTATTGAAAGAAAAAAAAATTATGTAGCGCTTTGGCAAAACGAGCTCATGGGTAGAGAACGGCAAACGTGGATTGTGTCTTGCCAAAGGACTTGAGTGTCGTGCTGGGATTCGAACCGTCAACCCTTTGACTGAGAGTCAAGTGAATAAACCACTACACCACCTCTCATAAGGAACACACGATGACAGAGAAGCATTTTCAAATGTGTGGGAGTAAAAAGGGGCATTTTTTAAGGAAAAAGGGGAAATTTGATTACATTTACGGTTGAACACCTACTCCTTTCCGGGGAATCAATTATTATCGATGCGAACAAAATATTATAATTAGTGATTTAAGTCTCCCCCAAATTGATTAAAGTGTATCCTGACAATTTATATGGGTGAGGGGGGGGGGGGGGGGTGTGGTCGCACCAATTTCCATACAAGGAAAAGAAGGAATTATAAGAAAACAATAAGTACAAAAGGTAATCAATATCTAGATTTGCCAACAGCTTATAAAAATTTCGACTACGATATTGGGGAGGGGGGATATATCCCATACCTTATTCGAGCGACCCCTCTGACTTGGCTACCATGCTAGTATGATGTTTTGGACTTTTACAATGAACAGAAGTATCACTAGTCATTACGGAAGCGTTAAAGTGCCATTCTACTTGACGACATGACGAGATATTCCATCTTGTCAAGTCGACTTAATATCCATATCATGTCGACATGTAAAGATATTTAACTTACCATGTCGACTTATCAACTTTTATTAGTCGACATGGCGACATAAATTATCTTGCCAAGTCGACTTCACAAAAAGTTCATGTTGTCATGGCGACATAAGTTATCTTACCAAGTCGACTTCTAAAAAAATACATGTCGTCATGGCGAAATAAATCATCTTGCCAAGTCGACTTCACAAAAAGTTCATGTCGTCATGGCGACATGTATTATCTTGCCAAGTCGACTTCACAAAAAAGTTCATCTCGTAATAGCGACATAAATTATCTTACCAAGTCGACTTCCCAAAAAGTATATGTCGTCATGGCGAGATATGTAGTGTGACGACTATTTCATGCAGCGCGCGTATGACGGGCGGATCGTGCCATAAAGATGACAACTATACAACTATACATCCATCGAATGGATGTAAGGTTTTAACCAATCAGTTGTCATCTTTATGGCACGATCCGCCCGTCATATGCGCGCTGCATGAAATAGTCGTCACACTACATATCTCGCCATGACGACATATACTTTTTGGGAAGTCGACTTGGTGAGATAATTTATGTCGCTATTACGAGATGAACTTTTTTGTGAAGTCGACTTGGCAAGATAATACATGTCGCCATGACGACATGAACTTTTTGTGAAGTCGACTTGGCAAGATGATTTATTCCGCCATGACGACATGTATTTTTTTAGAAGTCGACTTGGTAAGATAACTTATGTCGCCATGACAACATGAACTTTTTGTGAAGTCGACTTGGCAAGATAATTTATTTCGCCATGTCGACTAATAAAAGTTGATAAGTCGACATGGTAAGTTAAATATTTGTACATGTCGACATGATATGAATATTAAGTCAACTTGACAAGATGGAATATCTCGTCATGTCGTCAAGTAGAATGGCACTTTAACGCTTCCGTAAGTCATGGTACTGGCTGTTGGCGACTGTCAACGATTTCATGTGATTTTGATACAGGCGCGTACATGCGCGTACGCAGGGGGGGGGGGGGTTGAGGCTAACCCCCCCCCCCCCCCCCCCTGTGAGTGTTGATTTTTTTTTTTTTTTTTAATTATTATTATTATTTTTAATAAATCCTAATAGATGACCTAAAAAAGATGACCTTACCCCCCCCCCCCCCCCCAGCGGAACGGAATGTCGATCGGTCAAATTTTCAAATTTCGAGACCAAAAAAAAAATATATATATTTATGTCCTCCCCCCCCCCCCCCCCCCCCCCTTGAAAAAAATCCTGCGTACGCCACTGATACAGTAGCAAAAACCGGCTGTGATGAGATTGCGCAAACTGTATGTCATATCGAGGCAGAAGGCCAATATCAATTGATGCTATTTCCGCTATTTTTTTCGATAAAAAAAAAAAAAAAAAAAAAAACCCTGTTAGGAAAATTAAACAAAGAAAAAACCCTAAACCGAGACAAAGTACACTGAACGGTACATAAATAGTATTGTGACGTGCATGAATCGCGCATAACATGATGAACCACGGGCCAAAAACAACGTGAAATGCATAGGCGTGCCTGGTGCAGAATTTTGTGGGTGGGTGGGGGGGGGGGGGGGGCTGAAACCAGTCACACCCTTGGAGGGGAGGGGGCACCGCAGAAAAGGTTGATGAAACTTTTGGCGGAATGTTAAAGGCCATTATAGCAGGCGCGTAGCCAGGGGGGCGGTGGGGCGGTCGCCCCCCCCCCCCCTCCCCAAAACGCCGGCCAAAAAAAAAAAAGAGAGAAAAAAAGAAGAAAGGAAGAGGACGTAGGAAGAAAAAGGATTAAGAGTCGAGAACGGTACAACGAATCGTCTTCTTTCTCTAATAATTTAATGAAACGTCTAAGCTTCCGCGCTTCGCGCGGGAGGGGAGGGGGGAACTGAATTCAGATAAGGATTAAGAGTCGAGAACGGTACAACAAATCGTCTTCTTTCTCTAATAATTTATGAAACGTCAAAGCTTCCGCGGGAGGGGAGGGGGGGGGGGACTGAATTCAAACAAGGATTAAGAGTCGATCGAGAATGGTACAACGAATCTTCTTCTTTCTTTAATAATCTAATAAAACTTCAGAGCTTCCGCGCTACAGCTTCCGCGGAGGAAGGGTAACTTGATACAAAAAAAGGATTAAGAGTCGAGGACGGTACAACGAATCGTCTTCTTTCTCTAATGAAACGTCAAAAGAAACTGAATTTAGATAAGGATTAAGAGTCTAGAACGGTCCAACGAATCGTCTTCTTTCTCTTATAATTTGATGAAACCTCAAAGCTTTCGCGCTTCGCGCGGGAGGGGGGAAACTCCCCCCCTCCCTGCACCCTCCCCCCTAGGGAGCGCGCTACGCGCGCTCTGTAAGGGATTCGCACGCTTCGCGTGCTCACTACCACCCCCCTAAAATGAAATCCTGGCTACGCGCTTGCATTATAGCGAGTGTGGAAGGCGGCTGCATTTGTATCATTTTCTGTTTATGCTGCCTCATTTTCTTACCTCCGTTTTATATCTTTTTCTGTCATTACTCGTATAGGAGGAGGGTGCCCCCCCCCCCCATGACCCCTGCAGTGCACCACTGTCCGTGCTCATTAGTTTGTTAGAATAAGTACCGTATCATTCTCGATATAAGTTGTATTAATGCATGAAGAATTAGTCGGCATATGATTGATGCAACATAAATAAAAATGACATAACTTTTTTAGCATTCATTTTCAATGGTATTACCTTGCCTGTCATATTTCGAAACTTCGTACTTATTTCCCGTACATTATACTTGATTCGACATCTTTAATCTTTTTATGTGTGAAATCTACTCTTATACGCTTGTATAATTTTTGTTTATAAAATTAAACTTTTTAATTCAAAATGTGTAATAAATAAACTTCAAACTTCAAACTTCAATGTAGGCCTATAATGTGCTTATTACTGAAATGGATCATAACTCGAGAGTTCAGAGGCATTATTCTGAATTGAGTTGTATGTATATAGAGATTCGAATACGAGTCTCGGTCAATCGAACTACACAATAACGAAACTGTAACTGAGAGTGGCCCGGCCTTTGCCCCCAAAAGTATAATAAATATACTCCATAATAGCAAATCTGTATACTACGTACAATATACCCACCGGTCGGCATATACTGCGCTATGGGAAAACTAAACTGACTACATCATTGTCAACTTCAAGTTTAACAACTGCATATAAAACTTCAAGTCACACAACTCAGCCTGTTACAACAGCATAAACATCGTCAAAGTGTATTTACCTTTAGAAGAAAGATGATGACCAGTGCGACAACGGACAAGCAGAGAGTTGCGAAAAGCAGTATCAACTCGACTACCGCGGCCAGACAACGACAGCCACCTATCGCCATGTTGTATTGCCAATCAACTACATGCCACTCGTCCGTGTAACGAATAACGTGTACCTGTGACTCCCGGCCTTGAACATGCTTTTCTAAAACTTTTTGTTCTCGAGCTCTTCTCATTCTTCTTCTGCCTCCCATTCGATCCGTACCTTCTCTTCCAAATTCTCTTTTATCTTACATTCATCATCCATATCATTTCATTGTCTTTTGTCCCTTTTGTCAGTATACTTTGCTCTTTGATTATTATACTTCTACCCGATTACGAATGACACGTCTGTGTCAATATCATTTTAAGGAACTTAAATTCTACGAGATAGGCTCTGCTTTTTATAAAGTTCCTCTTTTTCATATGTAATTTGGAAATTATTTAGTGTATAAATGCAACAAAAACTTAGGCGGTGTCGATGTCTTTATTGTTCATGAATATCAACTTTGTAAATATGCTATGTTTTGTTAATGTATTGGTTTTTTTTCTTCATGTGAAATAAAAGAAACCGTTGAAACTGAAAACTGAACTATGACGGTCTGACAGGCTATTAATCCATGCAACTGTACAAATTAATATACAGCCATCGAATGGATGTATTAGTTGTATATATCTGATAGCTATCAGGGGCGGATCTAGCTTTTTGCTAAGGGGGGGGGGGTTGACCAAAATAATGACGATGCAGAGCATCGTCCACGAGCCGCGTAGCGGCGAGCCGATTTTTTTTTGGGGTGTTTATTTGAACCCCGTATAAGTGATGTTTTCCTGGCATCTATTAACACAATGGAGACCATAAAAAGCAGTGCATGATAACGTCTTTTTAAATCAAGTAACAGCTTAATACACAGTTATATCCAGCCTTTTTATCATGTGTTTGGTTAAGTTACCAGATGAGTTGAATATCTTCTCACAATATTTGCACTTGAAAGGGTTTCTCTCCAGCGTGCGTTCTTTTTTCTTTTTTTTTTTTTTTTTTGTTTTTTTTGGGGCCGCCCAAGGGGGGGGGGGGTTTGAACCCCCTAAACCCCCCCGTAGATCCGCGCCTGGCTATAATAGCCCGCGCATATTCGACCCCTGTCGCGGTTACCAGGCATCAGTTGAGTTTCCGTCCATTCAGGGACATGACAAATTAGTCAGACCTGGGGCGGCTATATAGAAAGAGTCTCAAGGGGGGGGGGGGGGGGGGGAAGCGAGAACATCAATCTGTGTTCCGTAGAAATTTACCTGAAAATGTTGGCAGTGTTTGTTACAGGAGGAGAGCGCACTTAAAAGTTATTGCCTTAAAATACCGCCTCAATCTTTCGACAAAAAACAAACAAACACCCAATTAGGCCTCTGCTTATAGCTACTATTAATGATGGCATGTCGCAACATAGTAGCTGAGAAATGGGAAATAATTAGCCTATGTGTGAGGTCATACGAGAATCGTTTATTGACTTGACATTATAGTCACCTGTGTTCAAGAGTTACGGACTCTTATATTGCATTGACGTAGTTGTGTTGCAAGGTCGGAAAGTTTATGGAAATATGTACTTAAGTAATCAAAACAATAAAGTGAATAAACTATGCGCATTATTGAATACATTTTCTCACCTGGTTCAGCTCATCAAGATGCTTATTAACCCCCTTAGTTTATTTTTTCCACCCCTCCCCCCCCCCCCCTCCTACCCCCCCCCCCCCCCCCCGATCAGGCTGCGTATAATAGTTTTCAATGTGAACTTTGTTCGTCTTCCAGTTATTGACTCACGGGACTGAATACATAAGACTATATAGATTACAAAGTCTTTTATTGACATCGTCACATAATAACATGAAGAAAATACCAGCAATCGCTTTAGATAAATAAATGTATATATAAAGACTTTGTGTAATATTTGTGTTACAAAATGTATTACATCGAACGAATAAGGGACAACTTCAAAGAGTGAACACATAGTAGATTAATAATGAGTTTTCAAACTTAACTTTCGTCCTTGCATGCTCATTGCTGTTACTGAACGAGTTCACATTTATTATGCGCAATAAATTAATGAAGCAGTAGAGACACAACGTTATTATAGTAAACAATTGACAACATTTTCCCTGATCAAAGGTTCGAAACTCACGCTTGATTGAATGTGAAAAGAGGACACATTTCTTTTTGTCTGAAGTTCACATCGAAACCGTGATGAACAAGCGATGTAGTTTCAATAGCATGGTGCAATAGTCTACAGCTCAAGCCATGCATTTAAATGTAAATGCAATAACATAGGTGGATCACGCAAGAGACAAACTCGGCAGGACCTTCTCAGTTGCCCCAAAATACGTTACAGTTACTTACAAGGGATCGTTGTTTGCGGTGGCCTTTTTGCCGCTCCCCCTCCACCCCCCCCCCCCCCCCCCCCCCCCCCCATAGCTGGATCCACTTTTGCTTATACAGTGCAGTTTCAATTGAGCAAAAATGTCATTTTCACTGTCGCTACACATATGTCATGAATGAAAATCCTCCATCCTAAATTGGTATAGACTATGTTTCAATAACACGCATTATATTGGCTAAATTAAAGACAGCGATTCTTATTTTTTAATCAGATTTCCCGTATCTATTAAAACACATATAAAATTCAACTGGAGTTTTCGATCAACATTGATAATCGACCTCAGATTTTATGTAACTCGATCCTAAGAAATAACAACTCATTAGCATTTTAATTATAGATGCGGGTAGTACGACCCTTACATGCATGCTCTTGAAATACTTGATACTCGATCATACCATGATCATACTTTATAGCTTACATTTTAAAGGTAAAGACCAGTATTGGAAACGCCCCCATTTCAAAAAATGAAATGGAAGCTCTCATTACCAATCATGTGAAATAATATGTTTTGACTAATACATGATGATACATAATTTGCCGGGAAACCGCCTACTAATTCATATATTTGGTAAATTTGTTTCTCTCATGGTCTGTGAGAGATATAGGGTAGTCCCATATACATCTTTCTGTGTATAGTGCTTGTAACTTTACGAAGAATGGGCCAAATTTCTTATCATTTTGATGATTCCAGAACCTTGCAGATGCTAGATGCTAGATGATCAACCTTTTCTGATTGATTCCACAATGTTTCTTTCACAATGCAATCGCATGACCATAACTGGTCTTTACCTTTAAAGGCATTGTTAAGCAATGCTTTCAGTTTTACAAATCTGAGATGCATGGCCCTACGTGGTATCAGTGTCTGTGATATGGTGAAAATGAAGCCCTAAAAAATGTGCTTCAAAATTATAATGAAGTGATTAAAAAAAGTAAATATCTTTGAGTGACCGGTTTTACCATACTCATTTTACCCAAATGACTGTAGTGTCATAAAAAAACGTTGGGAAAATGTTTCTTGAAGTTTTTAATTCCATTCATAAATAGCTTAATATTTAAACATGCGATTGGCTTTTCAAAGGGCTCGGTGTAAAAATGTCAGAGGAAAAAATGTCAGAGGAAAAAATGTCAGAGGTAAAAATGTCAGAGGTAAAAATGTCAGAGGTAAAAATGTCAGAGGAAAAAATGTCAGAGGTAAAAATGTCAGAGGAAAAAATGTCAGAGGAAAAAATGTCAGAGGTATAAATGTAAGAGGTATAAATTAAAAACAAAATCATGTGGCAAGTTTGTTATGGTTACACCCGGGTTATTAGGCTTATCGAAAAAGAACAGCGATGGATATTCTGCAGTTGTTATTTCACCGCTGCTTTATTTTCCACTTTCCCAGTTAAATTTATTTACCTTTCGGCCCCAATGGTGACTTTTTGCCCGATTATTGCTGAAGGAAGACGAGGGGGGAGGGTATTCTTCTTCTGGGGCACGGTGACCCGGCTGCTCTCCCCCTTCCTCTTATATAATGCTTTGCTAATAAATCCTTCCGAACAGTGGTCAATGCCGAGGCAGAGCAGGCAGACTAATGGGACATGGTTTCTACTCCGAGTTTCGCGCCTTGCAAGCAATCATCAGGCAATTGATAGCATTCTTAAACATGATTATCCTACAACCTTGGTACAAATACCCCTGAAATAAGACTTAACTAATAAAATACAATTAGAATTACTCATGAGTAATTCTTATTATATTGTATTCAGGTATTGTATTAGTCAAGTCTTATTTTGAGCGTATTTACCAAGGTTGCAGAGGAATCATGTAAGAATGCTTTCTTGTCTGATGATCGCTTGCGAGGCGTGAAACTCGGAGTAGCAACCATGCATGTCCCATTAGTCTGCCTTATTCAATATTTATTTACCGGTATATTATGCTTTTGTAAAAGCACATGGTACTGGTACACTGAGCAGTGAGCAAACTTCTGGGGAAAAAGATTTCTAAAATCGAGAAGTTTGGCCATGTTTTATAGGCTGAGTTGTCGCTCCATGCATGGTGTAATTATTAAATAAAAAGAAAAGTCAGTACAGCCCCAAAAATAGGATCAGATATCTATGAACCTCCCCCCCCCCCCCCCCCCACTTCTCCTTCACTTTTGAAGATTGTTGGACATTTTAACTGCGTGGCAATGACTACTATTATATGTAATTCCAATAAATGCATATTTCCGACAATTCCACTTTCTTGTGGGCTTGGTATTTTGATACTCTGAAACAAAGCAGAAAGCCATGTTATCAATGCTAACCGCACCATCACATTCCCGAAGTGCGCGCGTTGCAATAAAATATTGTCGATTACTATTGCGGTATTAAAGAGTCTGGGAGAAAATCAATAAGCAGCTTTGTTACTCCGATACAAAGCAGAAAGCCGCCGATGTTACATCAATTAAAGAGAAGGTTGAGTTCTGGGGAAAGGTGAACAATAATGTGTGAGCGTTTGTTATCATTCTTATTATGCAAGTGTGGAAGAATTAACATCAAAGAAAAAAGTTATTCCCTGAAAATCTATTTCAAATGACTTCATATCCCAGATATGACAAGTAACAGCTTTAAAATGAGGCCCGATTTGTATGCCATATGTTTGTGTAGTCCCATATCAATATCTTTCTGTGTACAGTGCTTGTTACTTTACCAAGAAAGGGCCAACGATTTTATCATTTTGATGACTCCAAAACCTTGCACTACATACCATGGGTGTCGATCCGTAACTGATACCTATTCATCAGGGGGGGGGGGGGTGATCTATTCATTCATCCCCCCCTGATGAATAGGTATTACGTAAGGATCGACACCCATGCTACATACCAATACTTAGATGTTTATGCTAGATGATCAACCTTTTCTGATTGCTTCCACACCGTTTCTTTCACAATGCAATCGCAAGACCAGAACTCAACTTTATCTTTAAATGCCAACCGCACCACCACATTCCAGAGAAGCGCGCGCTTTGCAGAGGTTCGGTTTAAATTACATCGTTATTTATAATTGTCGGAGAGTTTAAAAATGGGATGAGCTTCTGAATCGAGACGGTCTTTTACTTTTTGGAGCGGGTTTTTAGTTTTCGCAGCGAGTTTTTACTTTTAGGCCCGGTCACACAGAGGGGACGCATGGGGGACGCACGGCCGGCGCATGGAAAATTTGCAATTTTGGCCAGTGCGTTGTCGTGCGCCCAACTTTTGTCGAAGCTATACAGCTAGCTGACACCAAATGCATAGCGCGCTGGACGCATACAGGGCGTATACAGGGCGCACACAGGGCGCACACAGGGCGCACACAGAGCGCACATGAAAACAACTTCCACGAATGCACAGCGTGTTGCTAGCGCGCTGGACGAATGGTCCACGCATGCACCGCGTTCTACGACGCACGGCCAGCGCATTGGAAATCGGAAAAGAACGTGTGCCTTACTTTTGTCATAATTTTGGAAAAGCTAGCGAGCTGACACAAAATGCACGGCGTGTAGCTAGCGCGCTGTGCGTATACAGGGCGTGTGCTCCGCGTTTGTCTGGCGCTGGTCTAGCGCGCTCCACGCATGTCTGGCGCTGGTCTAGCGCGCTCCGGCGCATGTCTGGCGTGCCTTTGGCGTGTATATTCATGCGTCGAGCTCGGCGCACGTTTTTGAGCATGCTCAAAAAATCCCGACGCACACAGCGAATGACGACGCATGCATAGCGCTGGTCCAGCGTTGGTCCAGCGCGCTCGACGAACGAGTAACGAATGATGACGCACGCCTAGCGAACGACAACGCACTGGCCCAAATTGCAAATTTCCAATGCGCTGGCCGTGCGTTCCCCATGCGTCCTCCCTGTGTGACCGGGCCTTTTCGGAGCGACTTCTTGATCTTCTTATTCTTACTCCACTTCTTTTGCCGCCATGAGGTGCTAAAGCTTTAGCAGACTTCGGGGCGCCCAACCCTTATATGTAACTTTTCGTGATTCCTCGTGATTATATGTAACCATTTGTACTAAATGCACTACTCACTTTAACACTTGACTTTTGTCGAGAACTTTCATTTCTTCGTTTGGACTTTGTTCGTCTCTGGAACGTTACACGCGGATAGGTGCAGGCTGGCACCGGCCAAACCGGTCCGTTTCACAAACATTAACACATCAACCGATTCAAAATATCAACAAATGTTAGACATTCATACATATATGCAAGCCTGATCACAACAAAATAAATTTCAAAATCTATTTTCCACATTGTATTATCCTCAGGAAATGTACGAAATACAACACACAGCCATTTATAAAATTTACATTATGGAAGAAAGGAATATAATAGACTAGCCCATGCAGTAGCAGTACGTCTCGACATTCAGTGTAATAAAAGTGCTGAGACATGATGACGGCACTCATTTTGTTTTGCTTGTACCTCTGACATTTTTACCTCTGACATTTTTACCTCTGACATTTTTTCCTCTGACATTTTTACCTCTGACATTTTTACCTCTGACATTTTTACGTCTGACATTTTTTCCTCTGACATCTTTTCCTCTGACATCTTTACCTCTGACATTTTTACCTCTGACATTTTTTCCTCTGACATTTTTTCCTCTGACATTTTTACCTCTGACATTTTTTCCTCTGACATTTTTACCTCTGACATTTTTTCCTCTGACATTTTTTCCTCTGACATTTTTACCTCTGACATTTTTTCCTCTTACATTTTTACCTCTGACATTTTTACCTCTGACATTTTTACGTCTGACATTTTTTCCTCTGACATCTTTTCCTCTGACATCTTTACCTCTGACATTTTTACCTCTGACATTTTTTCCTCTGACATTTTTTCCTCTGACATTTTTACCTCTGACATTTTTTCCTCTGACATTTTTACCTCTGACATTTTTTCCTCTGACATTTTTACCTCTGACATTTTTTCCTCTGACATTTTTACCTGGCACCTTTCAAAGTCATGGGATTCATTTCTGACCTAAAGGTTTATATTTATATGATTGCAGCATGAGCTTAATCCAGGATTTTGTTTAGAATCAGAGGAAAAGTTACCCAATACCTTTAAAGGCAAGGTGGTGGATTTTTAAAATTACAGGATGGTCATGATGAATCTTAGGACCTGCCACATACAGTGCGTCCCAGAAAAAAAACGAAACCGAGAATTATCGATGTTTTATCATAACTTAATCGAAATTATAATTTAATAAATGACACATATTCTTCGAGCTTAGATCCTCCTTTTTCATCTGATGCACCTCATAATGATGCATATTTCACGCATGAGTGATTAAAAACAATTTGGAGAGAGGGTACCAAAAAGTCATTTGGAGGGCGGTATCTGAATTTCAAAGAGAAAAATCCTATTTCTAGAAAGTTCATTTTCTGCCCTTTCATATGACACCTCAATCAGGAAAAATGAGACAGGAATAACAAAGTTCTTTTTGTTTAAAGGGATCCGGTAACGTTGTCTCAGATCCAAAATCCTGGATTTAGCTCATGCTGCAATCATAGTTATAAACCTCTAGGTCATTCAGGAATCCCATGACTTCTACAAGCCGATTGCCTGTCTGATTATCAAGGTATTTATGATTGAAAATCGAAATTTCATTTTGCGTTTTCCTAAGGGTTTTCATAACACTACAGTCAGTTGGGGAAAATGAGTACGGTAAAATCGGTCACTCAAAGATTGTTTTACTTTTTTGAGGCACTTCATGATCTTATGAAGCGCAATTTTTTTAGGGCTTCAATATTTACACCTTATCACAGACACTGATAACACGTAGGTCCATGCATCTCAAATTTAACATTGTTAAACGATGCCTTTAAAGTAATGCTTGCATTTCCATAAATTGATTAAACGAAATCGTTTTCACTGGCTGCCTGCCATAGCAACAAACAGAGTTGACAAAAGACTTAACTCCGTCTCGTTGACGATCAGCCATGCACAAAGAAGACGAAAGCCTTTCCGATTCATGACAAATGAATTTCTAACTCGGTATTTTACTACTTTGATGGGAAAAAAATACTGATAAGGGAGAAAATTCCTAAAAAATCTACACGGGAACTGCAATTTTGAGGCTCCTGATCAATCATGCCATGCATGTTCTATAGCACACTGGAGGATGGACGAATCCACGACGCAAAAAGAAAAATGCTTTTCACCATAGTTGGCGCCCGCCACTTTGCTTTCACTGTAATAATGCTTTGCAAGCCAGGGTGCGTCGCGGCGCCACCACTGACCTCTATCATCGGACGATGCCATGCGCCATTTTGAAGCCTGAAGTGAGTGGTGGTGTTAAAAAAACATGGCTGCCCATTAGTACCATCAAAATACACTTTGCCGATCCGTGGATGTCTACTAGGACGATCCCACTATCTAATTTTGTATTCATGTTTTATTATTATTTATAGGGACCGCGGCCTTTTTCGTCCCTCCGCATGCGACTATGCTAATTGTAGTCAACTATACTACTCAATATTATGACAACCTTATATATTTCATTGAGTCATTTCGCAGATATACAGTTCAACGAAAGCACTATTATTCCATCATGAAGAAAGCGAATATAAATTAATCTAGTCTTATTCTAACACAATGGCATGAATATATCCTATCATTTTGGAGCGTTATAGTTGAATAAAGCGTTCTAGTCCAGTGTGTAAAAAAAAAAGTATACCCAATTTTGGTAGATATCCATAAGTCATGACCTTAAACTATATTTCATGTTAAAGAATAATATCCTGTCTGATGATACCTTATTCATTACTCTGCTGCCACGAATGACTGAACTGCAACCTTTTAAAAAACTTGGTGTTGTCACAATCCTCTTGTACCAAGTTTGGGCTGAAGCAATAAATGTGGGTCAAAATCCCTTATTGTTCTTTTAGTCCGAAAGAAATCGCTGATTTATCCGAATTGATTATGAGTGTATGAATAAAAAAGGTAACAATGTCAACACAGGCCCAAGAAATGGCAAAAAAATATGATAACCCCTTTGTTATGATGAATTGACATCTTGGCTTCTCTCCCATCCCTTGCAATTGCAATTGAGTCATTCAAAATGAACAAAGTTTACTCGGAATGCTATCATTTTTCATGAAAGTCACTGTCAATATCTTTGGTAGCTATCAGCGTGACTTTCTGTCTTGCCTTTACTGAATGATTGAGGTAAATAAACTTCTGGGTTCTCCTGTGCTGTCCGAGACAAATACACCATTCACCTATATAGCAACAATAGCCATAATAGCCATAATAACAGAGCAAAACAGTAAGTTTTTACAGTTTATGAGCAAAATTGTCGAATTATATCTGATCGTGCACATCCTGCCATTTTAGTTATACAAAATACGGCAAGTTTTAATGCAAATATTTCACTTTGAACCGAAGACTGTATACAGCCTTGACAATTGACAAGAAAGACAAATACCAAAGTCAAAACAACCATTCTACTTATAGTACCTGATATTTTCTCTTTTTTTAAGCGCCTAATCCATTGTCACCGCATTGTTGGGTCTTCCTCTTCTCAACAACCAAAGCAAGCATGACGACTGGGGTGGTCACAAAAGGGCTGTTAAAATCCCCCAAAGTTATTAAACTGTTGCACTTTTGCCCTATCAGCTGCTATTGATGGGTTTTGCCTTTTTGAACTTCGGGGAACAATAATTATTGAATACGAGCTGGATGAGTTGATAGTTTTGTCACTGAGCGAGAGAGAGAGAGTTGGACTGGGGTCATTTGATACCATGCAGTCGTCATCTTCGGCAGTAGCAAAAGTCTTGCTATTGGTCTGTTTAAAAAAAGGATACCTACACCTTTACGTGTTAGATATCTGATTGTTTGAGAGATACCGATATGCACTGTGAATCTGTTAGATTTATCCTTTTTCTTCAACGCATCCTCATCTGTGGAGTTTTGTTGACTGGTGTCCCTCCTGGTGAGTTTTTGACCAATAGTATAATTTTATATAACTATTAGAAGTTTAAAACTTCTTTTTGTGTGTGCTGTATTTCTAATTAAGTATGATTAATTAGGTATGATGTGTGCAACAGGCTACAGCCTACTTCGATGGTATTTTCTTAAGATATAATTTTATCATTAACTACTCAAGACACCATAGCCCTATGATAATATATCTGGACGATTTGAAATTGGCGGATTATATTGATAATTACAATAACTAGTCGTGGACAGGCAAAATCATACTATTGCAATAATCATTATCCTTTGAATATTTTGGCACTAATATTATTCTTTTGATATTTTTGGGACATTACAATATATATATATAGACAGACAAAATTATAGGACGTTAGAGAGAGAGAGAGAGAGAGAGAGGAGGGGTAAGAAGGAGGGGAGGGGTAGGTGAGAGAAAGAGGGAAAAAGAGAGAGAGAGAGAGAGAGAGAGAGAGAGAGGAGGGGGAGGGAGAGAGAGAGAGAGAGAGAGAGAGAGAGAGAGAGAGAATCACGACTATCTAGTTTTCGATGTACATAACTGGTACGATGGCCAGTTTCCCAAATCATCGAAACTCCATGGAAACCCCAGAAAACTCTTCGATGTCTAAACATTGAGTAGTCATAATTATGGAGCGCGTGAAATCACCATCCTCAATCTGGTGTTGTTTGTTGTTGTTTCTTGTTTAATCATAGGAGTACTGAGTGGTATTATAAGAGAGGAAAAATAATAATGTCAATATTCGAGAATTGGTTGTAAAACAAGTCTATTTCTTGACGTGCAGCAATCATAAATTCGACTTCTATACAATATTCCTGTTTATGATATCACGGTGTATGAATGGGGACGTCACGCTAATGATTATACCAAAGAGATACTGTATCTCTTTCATTATACAGTGTATTGTGTATATTCAGTCTCGATGCCGCAAAAATTACTGGTCCGCGAAATTTGACTCTAGAAGGAACCGTGTTTTTTAAAATTCATAATGAAAGCAATTAGATCGGAAAGGATTATAATATATTAGGCTTAATCGTTTTGACTTGCGGGGATAGTTGAACTACTTCTTTGACCATGGTCATAGCCAGCATTAGTTATGTACAGTGTCCGATTTTTCTTTTTATTCTTCCTTTAATATTCAAATTAATATATGAATCAAACAGCAATCATATACCAACACTATTAAAAGTTGAACTTAAAGTAGGCAGAAGATCGAATACAACTGTCATGACTATAATCAGCACACAGCCATGGCAGTCTTCGTACCTTTTCGACACGACATTGCCATGTATATGGACAGTCAATATACATAGTTATCAAAATATGGATATTATGTTATGTTATTTTGGGAGATAATGAGATAATAATATTGATGCATATGTTATTGATTGAAATAAATTATTTTCCTCCAAAATAGCAATATCATAATTGGATCGGTGAATGAAAGTATGTAAATGCCTTTGTGGTAATTAAGCATTATTAGATCAGCTAGATAGATTAATGAAAGTATGTAAACGCTTTTATGGTAATTATGACAGTAAACGTTATTAGATCAGTATTAGATCGGTGAATGAAAGAATGTTGATGCTTTTATGATAATTATGACGGATAAAGGTGGGGGCAATGTCGAAAATCCTGAGCTGGGGCTGGTTTTCCTACTCTGTTTTAATTGTATCTATATGAATATCCCCGCCTTGAACTGTACACACATTATACGCGAAACTAAATTTGGGTACGTCTTCCACACATCTTAATCCTGAAAACATACGTACAAACCACTTGAAACTTGAAATATTAAGGTTGGCAGTGACAGTTTGGGTAAACGAAAGAAAGGCCAACTTCTAAAGGGACTTATCCGTAAAAAGGAAGAGATTACACCAGAAGGAGTGAAAACACTCAAAGCCCATCATGGAAGCTCTACAAAAACGGATTAGAATAAGACGATTTTACAAACATGGCTATTTGATTTACAGATTAAAGCCGTTTCTTTATATACACAAGAGGTGTTCCGAATCCTACGGTAATGACCAGTGTGACAGAAGAGCTGAGTTGACAACTTTTCCATTCAAAAGAAAAGATCGTGAACGAGTATGTTGATTATAATATTCACACGATCGCTATATACTTTCGTGTTGCGTAACTTGTTTGAGTTACGGTTCACCGTTACGTGTGATTGGACGGTTCTACATGGGTTACTTCTGTTCTTATGTCCGCTAAGCTAAAAGTAAGGAACAATTCCATGGCATTGGGGATTTGAATATTGCTTGAGTAGTCCTCATCGATGGTAGAGTACTTCAGTCAAGTGAGATTCTTCTTCTTGATTTACAACAACAAGTAATTAAATAAATATTGCCATCATGGGCATTGTAATCATTTTGCATGGGTAGGGGCGTCGATTTCGGCCAAATATGTTGATTTTTCCCTAGACAGCCTCCCCCCCCCCCGGAAAGCTCTCAGATCAGAAACTCAATGATTGTTTAAATTATATATTTGCCGATTGGAGTTTAAATTTGTGTCTATTATTTTCCGACATCGTCATGCAGGTTTAAAAAAGGTCGACATGATAGGCCTTAGTATCGAGGCCTATAGAAACGCCAGACACAGGTGTATTTTTTCAATACTTGGGAAGAACAGAGGGTATTCAAAGTCTGGATACCGAGGAATAATCTCAGACAAGAATTTTGAAAAGTTTTGTATTATTCTATTATTAATGAAATAACATCTGTGTATCTGTTTCTTTCGTACTTATTGTGTAGTTTTGGGAACAGATGTATTCCTTGTAGACGGTCCAGCCCCACATGAAGGGCGGGTTGAGATCGTGTACGACGGCTACCGAGGATGCGTGTGTGACACCGAGTGGGACGTACGGGCTGCCGAAGTAGTATGTCGGCAGCTCGGTTTTACTTCGGCCGTTCGGGCTGGCTTAGGGGAATACCCGCCCGCTTCGTGTAAGCAATGTCTGTTGACGGATGTGAGGTGTCGAGGTGACGAGGAGACGTTGTCGATGTGCTCGCATCGTAGGGCATCGGGAAATACTTGTGATGACGGTGGGCTCGCCGTCGCATATGTGAAATGCTCAACTAAAGGGGGTGAGTCAATAACATAGGCATGACAATTGTATTTTCACTAAGTAGGGTATAATCTAGGCTGTTCTATCTGAAAGGGTTTAGAGATACATGTATATCCGAGATGGGTTGACAGAGAAGCACATGAATGCTTAAACCGCAAAATCTGTCTGGATCGGGGATATGTTCCGCTTAGTCTTCATCTGACTCAAGAGTCAAAAGACAAAATAATATGTTTATCTAAAAAACACTCGATTTACCTTGATTTACCTTGATGTGGGGCTTCAAGTATAATTACTTATATGCCCCTCTGCAGCAGAATGAATGTCTGTATGTACTGGGAATTGCGCCTCCAAGCAGACGGAGTTTTCTGTCTAATCGATGTGACTACCGGTGGCTGTTGATATGTTGTCGGTACGCTTGGGATTGGTCCTGATAAACAGTCATTGTTTTTCCTGAAGATGGGGTGGGGGAGGGGGGAGCCCGAGAGGGGACGACGGGGCTAGGCTGTGGTAATGACCTCGACTGCCTATTAAAGTAATTCTTTATTAGTTAAGCCTTTAATTTATTGTTGCAGTTCGTCTAGTCGGTGGATCGAGCCCACACGAAGGCAGCGTCCTTGTGTATCACGCCAACGTTTGGGGATCGGTCTGTGACTACCACTGGTCTCTAGCTGACGCTCATGTGGTCTGTAAGCAGCTAGGTTATCCGCACGCTAAATCGGCCAGGTATGAGGTCGACTTCGGTCGTAGCCTCGGCTTGGACATCGTCCTCGACGTTGTGGCATGCCGTGGTGACGAGGAGAGCTTGTACGAATGCGAGCACACGGCATGGGGTGTTCATGATAGCGAGCACGTTGCAGAGGCAGGAGTTGTCTGTGCTTCAGATCAAACAATTGGTAAGAAATTTGACTTCGCAATTAATTGCTTGATTAAGTACCAGAGCGCCGTAATGGCCGCCATGCTAGAGCCAGGGTAATAACCACTGTTATTATTATTCAATTGGTTACTTGACTGCATTAACCATTAAACGGATCCATCCTTGCTCTCCATTGATGCGTGTTTTCTTTGTGGTTAGACGAGGATAATTATTTTTAACTATTAAAGCTCTGTTCGACTTTTCATTTCAAATGAAAGAAAAAAATCCTTTTTAAGCTATCCGTTAATTAAAATGCTTGGCATAATCGTGTATTCAATTGTGTAACCCTTATTGACTCCTCTAGTTTTTTGCGATATTGTTATCGAAGTAATTATTTCGACCAATTGATGTTGCTAATGTTGTAATGCTTTTTAAAAAGCTGGGAAAGGGTTGCCCGGGATTTTTTTAAAGTTTCAATATTCCGGCGAGCCCCACCTCATATTCTGCAATGATGGAACGACATTTTGTTGAGCAATGTCTCTTCTTGGGTGTCTTTATTTTATCGTTTGTGCTTCATATTTTAATAAGATTTCAAGATTACTCATACCCCACCCCTTTCTTCACACGCAGTTAATTTGGTTTAAGATAGATGTAATTACAATAAACTTTTTTTCTTCTTGATATTCAAACCTTCTAGCTGTCGGATCAGTTCGGCTATCAGGGGTTTGTATCCCTACATCGGTCGTCTTGAGATATACTACGATGGTGGATGGGGAACGGTTTGTCAGCAAGGTTGGCGTGACTACGATTCAAGACAGGTAACCAAGACTGAATTTTCACTTTTTAACTTTTCCATCAAAGTTTGCATGGTTTAAAATATCTTGGCTGTCCATGCAGTGTACTGCATCCAATTTTGCTGTCCATAAGATGTGAACTCTTGGACTGCATTGACAGCAAAAGTAATTCATATCATCAAGCTAGTTACACTCACAATATCTTAAAACGTTTCTAGGATTCCCCCTGTCCTACGACTCTAGCTTTGGACCTGAATGTAAGCTTTTTTTCTTCATTTCATGTTCCATTCCACAGCCTCTTTCAGAAGAATACTGTCAGGACTGTCTAAAATAGTTCGTCATCTTAAATTCTAATAGTAGTTGTTTCGAATCCAGAACAACAATGTTAAATAATAAAGCTACAGTGTTCGTCACCATCATGACCGTCGTTTGGTTTATACATATATTTATTGTTTTAATTTCAGGTTTGCAACCAGCTTGATTATCATTACTCGGGTAGAACCAAGCCCGATCAGTCTTCTCATGCGGTCATCTATGATGATGCGCCTGTCCAGTTATCTCACGTGACCTGTACATCCGGCATCCCATTGGCTGACTGCCATCATGGTGTCTGGCAAGACACAAACTGCACGCATGAGCAAGACGTTTTTGTGATTTGCGACTATGATGGCGGTACGTGTCACCAGTTACAAGGCTACGGTGGGGGCCTTCTCTCCCCATCGAATGGCGAAAAAGGGGGAAGATGAGAAAAGGGAAAGAGGGTGAGAGACAGAGAGAGAGAGAGAGAGAGAGAGAGGGGGGGGGGGAGACAAAATTGTTGATCGAAAAAGTTGTTTGTTAAGAGAAAGACCTACAGTATATTTACTTAAATGGGTATTGTTAACACTCTTATTATTGAAGGAGGGACGAATTCGAGAGTGTCATTCAGTAAGTAAAGTAAACTGTTGATATTTCATTGAAGGAAACGAGGGAGAGGTTCGTCTCCTCGATGGTCGAACTCCTAACGAAGGTCGAGTCGAAGTCTACCGATCAGGTCGATGGGATACGGTCCTCGCTGACGAATGGGACCTTGTCGATGCCGACGTCGTGTGTCGACAGCTGGGCTACGAGGGGGCACTGGAGGCGGTAGTCGATGACCGGTTCGATCAGGGAGCCGGTGTGGTTCAAATCGGGTCTGTTCAGTGTGATGGATCAGAAAATCATCTATTACGCTGCGGATTTTTGTCACCGCCTGTCTCCGATGGCGGACACGATCGAGACGCCGGAGTAGTATGCGCTGACGAAGGTGGTAAATGGTTCTAAAAAGTTCTTGACTAGTATGATCAAAAGTAAAATACATGTTAGAATAATGTTAAAGTTTATCATTGATTAGCTCTTTATTGTGATGAATATAGGAGATCATATAGGGATTCATTCATTGTATAAATAAAAAATCCCTTATCTTTCAGCCAACTTTGTAGTTCATTTCTCAAACTCGTTTACGCTATTAAATCTCATCCATCATCTTGCAGTAGTATTTGTAGATGAAGTAAGTCGTTGGAGTTAATTGTTACTTGGTTGCTTCATGAAAATAATTAATATACTTTGGCTTCAGCACATTGCACCATTTTACTTCATCTAAAATCCAAGAGATAGTCGCTTAGTTTGAAGGAAAACAAAACATGTGGAACATTCGGTTTAGTCAAATCCTAGAGTTCATACTTATTATCCGATTTTCTTTTCAGTCGATGGAAGTGAGGGCATGGTGCGTTTAGTCGGTGGTCGTCGACCAGGAGAGGGTCGCGTTGAGATCTACCACCACGGCATCTGGGGGACGGTATGCGACGACTTCTGGGACATCAGGGAGGCCGATGTCGTGTGTCGTCAGCTGGGGTTCAGCGGAGCTTCAGAGCCCATGAGAGGGGGTGTGTTCGGCATGGGGAACAGCAGAATACACCTGGATGACGTCACGTGCGAAGGGACGGAGAAGGTGTTGTCGAACTGCTCCCATGCGCCGTGGAATGACCATAACTGTCTGCACGGCGAGGACGCGGGCGTCATTTGCCACTCTTTAGAAGGTGTGTCTTAAAGTTGTTAATGACTAGTATGGCGAAATTATTTAATTTACCAATCCCTCTTAATATCAGAACACTGTCTTCTTCTCATAAGTGATTTGCAATTTGTACTGCAACATGACATACATTCCGACTCCGGGATAGGGCAATTGTTGACACTCTGTTACAGAGGCGTCGCCGATGCGGGTGCCAAAATGCCGAAAAGTTTGCAGACAAATAATAAATCGACATCTCCAACCAAAGAAAAGATCGGTCAGCCACAAATGTTGAAATATACTAGGGTGGCTGAAACTTAAGTTTACAAATTTGATAACCGTGGTATCTCTTTTGAGAGATGTTAACACAATGTGAACACCTTTAGTGATACCTTAGCTCATCAGGTTCTATCATACATCTTTAACAATATCCCATGCATAAACATACAGTTACTAATGTGGTTACAGACTACAGTAAATATAACCCGATTTGTATTACTTTGTATTTGAAAGACGCCTCTCTCTGCGACATGTCCACACTGCCGCAGCTAGCCAGTCACCATGCCCATCATTTAAATCATTGATCATCTCTCCTTTACTTGACTATCATCAACAACCTATGATGTGTGCAAAATAAGACAATGTAGATACATTTCTCATTGGCAGGAGCCATCCGACTAGTTGACGGGATCCAACCCAACGAAGGGCGAGTCGAGGTCTACTTGGAAGGCTCCTGGGGTACCGTCTGTGATCACCACTGGGACATCCGCGATGCCAATGTCGTCTGTAATTTCCTTGGACACCATAAAGCCATCCAAGCTCCTGGAGGGGCCTATTTCGGCAGAGGATCGGGTCCTATCAACCTGAATCGGATGTTCTGCAAAGGAGAAGAAGGATCGTTACTCCAGTGCTCTCATTGGCCGGTCGATGATGACTGCACCCATGATAACGACGCAGGCGTCATTTGTCTTAACAGCCGTATGTATTCCATTGCACACGAGGCGTTATTTCGATTGCGTTATTACTTGCGCTAATCAAACCTCCTGTGGACGTGATAGCAATTAGCCCATACGTCAGAAATAAACGCAACGCGCTCACCGTTCCATTTGCAATCATATTTGTGCATGATTTTACCCTGTCATGGTGCGCCGAAACTCACGCAATTCGCTGACGCAGGCATAAGTCAGCAAATGACGCCTCGTGACAATACATCGCATTTTCCCTTCTACTTATCCGATTAATATGACTGTGTTGTATTTCTTATTGTCGATTCCTTTACATATGCATACACAGTGGATTTTTAGATTGATTACAAATTTCATTTATTTGGAAATGATACAGATCATCGTCATTTTTGTTTTCATGACCCAACAAAGTAGAATTTGCAGTAACAGTAACCAAGGAAAGAATGTTAATGTCTAGGGATCTCTGGTATAGGCCTATCTGATATTTAATCATATGATTTTGATCTCACTGATCTCAATCTAGGGGTGGGTTTCATGCAAAGGGATATCTATGTTTTCATGTGACCCTTACATTTTGAAGATAATTAATGTTTTTTTCTTCACCATCAACAGCAGATAGCTTTCACCCAGCGGTCATAGTCATCTGTGGAATCGCGATTGGATGTGCATGTCTGATCGGTATTGTTGTGCGAATCTTCATCGCCTGTTGGCGTCGCCGGCATCCTAACGGTGCCGCTCGATCACCGTGCGTCACCTTCGACTTCTTACGAACCGTCACAGCATCATCCATGAGTCGACGGGATGAGACGCGTCGAGCTAGCGACGAAGACGACAAATATGTTGCGTTCTATCCTTTCATGCCACCTCCCTACTCGCCCATAGACAACAATCCACATTCGGATGTAAGCGACAGACGGCAAGAAACTTGTAGCGGCTCTTACATGCCCTACTTTCACCGTACATTAATTCATGTCTCCTGTATTTTTCCATCACGGTTCTTATTTATATTCATTATTCGTACCGCGTGTGTTCATTCCTCCAATCGAGCATCGTGGTTCCGCGCATCGTTCACCCGCGTATTTTCATCACCACGAGGTTTTCTCCACTCCCGCTTACACCTCGGTCGAGTCAACAACTCCTGCTTACATCTCTAGTTGAGTCAACACGTTTCTGCATGATTTCTTCTCCGGGCTTGTTTCTACTGTGCCTATCATTTCTATCGGCACATATCTTCACTTTCTCTGCCGTGTTCATCGGGCTGCAGTTTTCCAGTGGAACAGTTAAATCTAGTTCCGACATATATGGTGCTTGGTTATCCGCTGGGAGCTGCCAGTTTCTTCACCGGTAGTCTTTCACTCACATGAGCTCGACTCACCGCAGCTCATCTAAACATTCACCATCAAAGTTCGGCTCATCAATCGAGCGACTCACCGTCTCAGCACCACTACCGGCTTTGATGTCTGCATTTTCCACTTTGGCCTCCGACATCAAGCGACTCACTGCTTTCGTCATCGAGCGCCACACATCTCTTCTCTTCTCTTCTCTTCTCTTCTATTCTCGCCCGAGAGCTCCATCTACATTCATCATCATCACGAGCGTCGGCGACGACATCGCGTTCTTCACGGTTCTTCAACCATGTCAACGAAGTCGCGTTTCCGCCATCAAGCCTCCGCACATTTCATCGCGTGAGCCCCTTCCTTCGTTCTCAACTCTCTTCATCTTCATCTTCTTTGGACTTTCGACTTCATTTCTACTATTGTCGTAAGCTCTATTTATGTACATCGCATTTATTCATGTTCATTATCATCATTGATCATTATGTAATCTCCGTGCAATATTCACATTTACCATTTATGCATTTTCATTCCGATTCTTCAGCTTGTGCTTGCATGGCTACACTTTGCAAGTGTACGGCCAGCCTCATCAGTACCCAATAAACATAACGAAAAGGGAATACTTTCTTTCATGTACTTTATTGTCAGTGCAACCTTGTTTCCTCGTAGCTAAAATAAAAATAAGAGTTATGTTGTGTGACGAGTGAACACGCTTTCAAATATCCATTCACAATACCTCTCACTCATATCTCTACAAACTTCCTACGGTCTTTCTCAAAGTCAAAGTGAATGTCAAGGTCAAGGTCAAGGTCTCCTTGAAGGACATGGAGGTTATGAGATAGAAAGTAATCCGGACAATGAAAATGATTTGCGACGATTGAGAGACGATCGCACCCAGAATGTTCAAGAAGAACAACCTACGATTTATTTATGTAGACGGAATAATAATCAAACAGATCCGCTGGAACAACATAGTGAAACTTCATTATTGCATTCATCGAGATCTCATGATTCAGCTTCCTCGTCGCAGCGATCGACATCTCCATCGTTATCGTCGTCGTCGTCGTCGAGGTCGTCGAGGTCGTCGGAAACGGCTCCGCCAGCTTACAACGACGCACTGCATCACCAGATCATCGGTCCGACCCGTTATGGAGGCGTACCAATGGTGGTCTATGCATCCATCGATGACTGCGATGGTTTGCGTGATGGAGTGCAATCTGAGAATACTTTTTATGTTGACCAGGGTCCCGAATAAAATGCCATCTTGAACATCATTTTTGCCTTTTTAAGTTGTGACATAATGGTGTGCGCGGGAGACGCAATGGGTTTTTCGGTTTTTAAACTTCATTTTATAAAGCGTTCCTCGTTGTTTGCATGCCTTCCAATTGACCATTCAAAACGTTTTTACACAGATTTTCAGGGACGCTTACTTACACATGCTTTCTTAGTAGTCAGGTAAAACAAACAAACACAAATATAACAAACATAACTTAATCGCGTCTCTTTGTAAAGAAAGGGACCGGAATAGGTAAAGGAAATATTGAACAATATAAAGAAAGTACATATAACCGTTCTATTCTGACTGATACACTTCAGATATACAAGACATGTTTAGTTTATGTTTTATTGAAATAAGTTTGTTACTCGCATCTCTTTGTAATGACAAGGACCGGAATTGAATCAAGGAGGACAATCTTGGAAAAAAGGTATAAGGAAATATGATAATTAAATTATTGAACAATTATGTGTATGAAATTCATGATAAATATATTTGACGTGGTCACTGACAAAATCATTTTAAATAATCATATACGTTATGTTATTTGATATCGCGATATATAATGATAATTAAATTTTATGGACTTGTTAACTGAAATACAATATTTATCGAGTGCAAATTTCAAATTTGATTAAAAGCAGATTTGTGTATTTTTTTTATAGTTTGGAAAGAGATTCAATTTAGTGAGAGATTTCTAATAAATTGCTTATATCTACGAAAGCTCTGTGTCAAAATTTTCGCAACGACTCAAGCAAGCCGCTGAATAAGCGGGGGGGGGGGGGGGGGGGGGGGGGGGGGGGGGGGGGGGGGGGAAGAGGATTTAAAAATTTTTTTTTTTTTTAGGGGGGTCCCCCAAAAAATCGCAACGACTCAGCCGACGGCTGAATAAGCGGCGGGGGGGGGGGGGGATAAGAGGACACTTTTTTTTTTTTGGTATCGAAATTTGAAAATTTGACATTTTGCTCCGGTGGGGGGGAGGAGTAGGGTCAGCTCTTTTATGTCAGCCATGGAAATATTATTTTTATTTTAAAATAAATGAAAAGCTAAGGGGGGATTTAGGGGGGTTATGGGGGGGGGGGTTTACACACAGAAAAATACCAAGATTATAGTTGCGTCTGTCAGTCTATATTGGTCTTTCAAGTTACATGTTAAGAAAGTTTTAAATTTAAAATCTTAGTTTGCCGTTACCATTTGGTGTCATGATGATTAATCATACAAGAGAGATGAGAGAGAGAGAGAGAGAGAGAGAGAGAGAGAGATGAGTGAGAGAGAGAGAGAGAGGAAGAGGGGAGAGAAAGGAGAGAGAGAGGAGAGAGAGAGAGGGAGAGACAGAGACAGAGAGAGAGAGAGAGAGAGGGGGGGGAGGAGAGAGAGGGGAGAGAGAGAGAGAGAGAGAGAGAGAGAAAGAGAAATGTGTGTTAGTGAGGGCTTCAGGGACGACTCCATGATTTGGCAAAATTTGTTTTTGTCGTGAGGGGGGGGGGGGGGGCAGGGTCCAATCTTAATTATCACCACCAGTCAAAAAAGGGAAAAAATAAAGATGTCATCAAAGTTGTGGGATATTGAATTACACCCGACTGAATAAATCAGCCGAGCCGAACAAAACATTTTTAAAGGATTTTCTGGAAGAATTTTAAAACGAAATAAGTTTTGAGTTTGATCCTGCTCTAGTCAAAGCAGGGCGAGTTGTTTGGAATAATAAGTAACGTTTTTCCATGGAACACGAATACCCTTATCCCAGTGTATTAACTTTTTGAGTCTGTGGCTCAGTGTCGGTTTTGAGTCTGAACCCCGTCAACCCCCCCCCCCCCCCACCCCAACAGTTTATGCAATGATAAAAGGTGAAAGGAACTTGGGAAAATAAATGGTATGGATGGGGTCGATAGTATGTGTGTGTGTGTGTGTGTGTGTGTGTGTGAATGGGGGAGGGGGAAGGGAATAACTAGGGGCTGTATGTATATTCCTTTTTTCCGGCAAACTTATTGTCAAGTTGGATAGCCCCCCCCCCCCCCCTCATACGAGCCTACACTAATTTTTCAATACTGATGGGCTAAATCTAGGTGAAGGTAGGCAATTCGGCGTAAATCTTTCGTCTAGGGAAAAAATGTCTGACCTTGAGACGAGAGCTCTAGACGGGAAGGGGGGTATCAATAATTATTGTAGCTTTAATAATTATGCCAATATGGGACCTAGCTATTAACAATAAAATTAATAAAAACTCTGTCTCTTCACATTTCTCCGACTGTTTATTAATGAAGAGAACAAACTCAGTCTCTAGCCCCTCCCCCATGTATCGTATTACCCATTATCAATTGAAATGATTGTACCCCCCCCCCCAAAAAAAAAAAAGAAAAGAAAAAAAAGAAATGCAGCTAGCTATGTAGAAACGTGTCGAGACACTGATATGAATTAAAATTGTCAGATTTGGGGGCGATCATGGCGATGGACGATGTATTTGAATGATTGCATGAAATCTCAAATAAAATTAATAAATAATTATATTTAATAGATATTTTTGAAGGTGCATTCTTAATAAAACGGTGGCGGAAATACACTTTTTAGATTTTAATATATTTTCCCGGAAATTCATGTGACTTTGGCTGAGGCAAAGTTTACACGTTTGCACGATTGCACAACTAGTCTATGCAGCTACGTACTCAATTCGGTTCCGGTGACATTTCTGCTGTGGATTTTGGCATTAATTCGAAGTTACAAAATGTCGAATAAAGGCAAGATTACCAAGGAATCTCTCAAGGACAAAATTGAGGGGAATGAACTGGACCTGAGTCTCTCTGGTCTCACAAAAATTCCTGTGAAAGAAATTGTAAGTATACTGAAAATTCATCAATACACGATTTTAAATATGTGGGCGTACAATTAGTGACAATATACAATTACAATGTCTAGTTTGATTTGTTATATGACTCCATTCATCATGTTCATTGAACTAAGTGTGATCTGTTTACTTTAAAGGTCAGCGATTCCTTTGCCTTCCCCAGCAAAAATTCCACAGGCACACCACATATTTTCCAGTGATAATCAAATCGATTGAAGTGTTACAGCTGGCTGACCTGATTAAAATTTATAAAAATATAAAGAGAGAGAGATAGAGCAAGGGCATGCAACCATTGAACCATGAATGGCCAATGGCATGCCATGAACAAAAGACTTTTTTTCCAAATTAAATTCACCCGGTATAAATTTAAAATTAAATGTTTTTCACATGCTCAGAAATTAAGAGTAAAATGTTTTTTATATAAACAAATCTACATAGCCTTCCATCATTCATGACCATCAAACGCCAGAATTTATTAATACTTAGATCTATAGACCACTAATACTATAGTAGACTAATAATATTTAAATTTAATTTGTTTGTCCCTTACCCTAAAAATGAATCATATTCATGTCAATTCAGTACAAGTACTAGTAACTATTAGTACTGGATATAAGTCGTATTCAAATAACAATTTCATCCTTAAAACTTCAATATAGGTCTAGCACAAGGATTAATCAAATTTTACCTAATTGAGGAAACAGAAATCTAAAAGCTGTAGAGAAAGATAATTTACAACTGCAAACAACAGACATAAATTGATTATTGTGGGTTTTTTTCCGTCCCCTGATTCCTTCTAATATATAACTGGATGTAGACGGATTGCAAGCAATATCAATTGCACATTTTTTTTTGCCAGCTATTTTCATTTCTCGATCAGGTACAGTGCAACGGCAAATGTAAATTGTATGCTTGAGGATATGATATTTCAGGTAGAACCTCTCTGCTTTTTTCAAGTTTTTCTCCATTTCTTTTATTAACAGGCTTCTATTACCAAGATAAAATGTGCGGATTTGTCTTGCAACCAACTTGTCAGCTTACCAGTAAGTGTATATACACCTTCTATTTCTTAAATAACAAGGAAAATGTATTGATAAGGAACAACTTTTATCTGCTGGTTTTAAGAGAATGTGTATCAAAACCTGTAGAACATTTTGTCAGGGCCCAGAAAAGCTCATTACGTGGGACATACTCATCAAAGCAAAAAAATCATCTCAAAATCTGGGATGTACCAAAACTTATGACCAGCACTGTATGTAATAGCTGAGATCAATCATGTTTGTGATATATTTGTAAAGTTACTGTTGAATGATAAGACAGCATTTTACCCAGCAGGAAGAAAATGTGATTTTTTTTTTATTAGATGTACAATTGTACATACATTTCAAGTTGTGGACAAGTTTCCTTAGTCCTAGAGGTAACCATTCATGTATACATCTCACTTGCAGGATAATTTCAGTGTTCATCTATCACACCTGACCAGACTGGACCTCAGCAAGAACCTCCTGGAATCCCTCCCCCAAAACTTTGGCCTCATGGTGGCCCTTCAGCGCCTTGACCTCTTGGGTAACCAGCTCACCGAGCTACCGGTCAGCTTTGGTGACCTTAAGTCACTGCGTTGGCTGGACGTCAAAGAGAACAAGCTTGAACCAACCTTGAATAAGATTGTAGGAGACTGCTTGGACGATAAGCAGTGTAAAGCATGTGCTCAGCAGGTCAGAACAGTGTTATAGTTTGATTATTATTATTATTATTATTATTATTATTATTATTATTATTATTATTATTATTTATTTGGCACTTTTAAAAGAAACAAAATCAGGAAACAATATACAATGTACATAGGACATAGTGAATGAATACAATAATTTGACACTTGCATACCCGACCAGGTGGCCTGGGTAAGGAACAGGTCAACTAATGTCCATGGCCCACAGGCCTTCCTTCCCACACCTGATAAGGTGCACAAACATCCTGACATAAAGTGTGGATACAACATAGAATAAAATCACATATAAAAAATATAAAAAATGACAGAATTATGATTATATATCGGGGGAAGTTGTCATTTTTTAAAAGCACCTATTCATTGGTGCCTTGTAGCTTTGTGGGAAATATCAGTTCTATCACCTGTTATTTAGAGATGATAATTAACCAATTCATTTGTAAAAATGATCTAGGCTTCTAGCTCTTTAAAAAAAATTATATTTTACTACGTGTTTGGACCAAGAATCACCATTAATCCCTCGAAAAATGAAATTGCTGTCTTCATGAAACAAAAAATGACAATTCCATTTTGGATGTGATTCCTTTTGATTTGATCATTATGGAAACTATTTGGTATTGAATGAGTTAAAGGTTACAAAATTTATTATATTGTGTAGACGTGTACCAATATCTGACAGTTAGATTATCTGTGCAAGTTCAGACAATTTCATGAATTGGCTCTTTGATATTTGTCAGTTCATACATGGTTTTTGTTTGTTTGTTTGTTTAATTTGTCTAGGTGGTGTCTCATATGCAATCCATCCAATCCCGCATGGAGGAGCAAAGACTGAAACATGAAGCCAAAGAGAGGAGTAAGGATTCTAACAATTACAAAATTAAATAATGATAATAATAATAATAATAATAATAATTTAAATATATATATATTAAAAAATAATAATTATAATAGTTATAATAATAACAATAATAATAATAACAATAATATTAATAATGATAATAATTATGATTGATGATGATGATGATGATGATGGCGATGATGATGATGATGATGATGATGATGATGATGATGATGATGATGGTGGTGGTGGGGGTGGGGGTGATGATGATGATGATGATGGTGATGGTGATGATGATGGTGATGATGATGATGATGATGATGATGGTGGTGGGGGTGATGGTGATGATGATGATGATGATGATGATGGTGATGATGATGATGGCGGTGGTGGTGATGGTGGAGGAGGTGGTTGTGGTGACGATGACGACAATTAACAAAAAAAGAACACTAACTGTTTCAACAAATTCATGATGCTGACTTTATTATCTGCTTTTTGTAGATCATCTTAGAAGATTGTTTTAAATGTCTCACTTTACCCTGTTGACAGCCCACAGCAGCACCGTAGACACATTGAACTGAGGTCTATACAAATGTAGGTTATACTGATGAAAATGAAACCATATAAAATGGGTTGGTATATTAATATTCGTTCTTATCATCATACAGCAATTATGTTTAATCCTGTTTGTAAATTAAATGTGCTTGTGTGTCTATGTTACAGTGAGAGAGACGCAACGAGAAGCTTCTAAGAGAAAGAAAGAGGAAGAGCAGAGAGAGATAAAAAAGAAAGAGAAACTAGAGGAGAAGGAGAGAAGAAGAAGGGCATATGAAGCAGCACAGGAAGCAGAGAGACAGGCAAAGGAGGAGGAGCAGGAAGACGAGAGAATCAACTCAGAAGGTGAGATGAAATTCTGTTAACCCACTGCTTCCAGGAACCAGGGGGCGTTTCACAAAACAATTGACAATTTGTGTTATAAACTACTGAAATCCTTGCTTCTGATTGGTTATCAGCAGATTTGTCACTGATTTTTTGTTATTTGTTATTAAAAATAGGCTTTGTGAAACGCCCCCCAGGTGGTCTCTGTATTAAGCCATGGGAATAAGGCAATTCAGTAGTCAAAGGGTCGAAAAGGCCATTTTCATAATGTAATCAAATTTATTGCATAAATCTTTATCAAGTCCATCATTAAAAATTATTCCATTAACCTGATACAAATAATTGTATTTCAATTGTCGGAATGCGAATTGAATACATTTTGTACTTGTTGTTAGGTAGGACAACCCTAATATTTGTCATGCCTAGAAATAACTAATGTATGCAATCTGCATTCTGACTATTGAGATACCATTATTTAAATCGGTTAATGAAATAATTTTTCACGAGACACTTGATAAAAATTTGTGAAATAAATCTGATTACATTAATACGCAAATGGTCTATTCAAGACATGCTGACATTCTTGTCAAATCCTTTGGTTATTTAAGGGGTATCTCACTGAGCGGCGAATGCTTGCGAATGTAACGAATTCAGAGTTTCGCCAGGGTCCGTAAAAGGTCCCAAACATTCACAAATAGTGGCAAAGGATTGGCAAATAGTTGCTAATCTTCGCTAATACTGTCGCTAACATTTGTTTACAGTCACTAATAGTCGCCAACTGCCAAAATTTGCAACGTTTGTAAGCATCCGCCGCTTAATGAGATTCCCCCTTAAGTAATCACTGTCTCGTTAAAAGAACTGCCATTGATCCAGAGTGATTGCAAGTTCTCTGATTAATCACAAACTCTTTATCTCTTTAGCAGAGAGTAGGATTGATATCAAGTTTCGATCTATGAGAGAATCATCTCATACGGTTAAATGAAGCCCTTTTCGATTAAAATCTCGCCTTTGAAATCCTAAATTTCTTTGGTTGTTCGGTAATCCACTGGGCCCTGTCTTAACGGAAGGATAATGATTGATCCAGATTGATTGGAAGTACTCTGATCAGTTGCAAACTCACAGAATCTTATCTGTTTAGAGAAGTAAAATTGTAATTATTATACGCTATACAAATTTAACATTGTTATCTAGATTGTCTACATTATATGTCAAGTGTCATAAATTCATTATTCCTCATTCCTTGATACATCTCACTTCTGTTAACGCTTTCTAAAAGTTGTAATGTAAAGTCTGTGATTATAGTTGTAATATATCATATTTTTAATGATTATTGAAATAATAATTGTTCTCTCTTTTTAGAACATTCCAAAGCAAATGGAGATGCAGGAAGCTATGAGCAGAAGCAAAAAACAAGTAAGTTTTTCATTACATTTTCTATGATCAGATGTACAATATATCTATATATTTTTTTCATGTATTGACTGATTGAGACATTTAGAGTTTTTATAAAAAAATCAGTGTTGTGTTATCACATAGCAATGCTTCACACTTTTTTTCTTTTTTTGGGGGGGGGGGGGGGGGGGGGGGGGAAGGAAGTCATCAGAGCATGTTTGGAATATCATTACACTTTTGTGTGTGGGTAACATTGGAAAAACCTTGTGTGTTTGCTATTTTGGTTACCGGTAATACTTCTGCCACTGTGGTGCTCTAGGCATTATTAATCATTTAATTAAGAACATTTCTTCAACAAAATTTGTATATTCTTATCAGCTACCTTAAAGCTTTTCTACTTGAATTTAAATCATTAAGTAATGATATATTTGGAAAAGTGAATGCAGACACATGTATTTTACTTGAATAAGTGGTGTTTGGTATAATTGATATGATGGAATAATTCTTATAACATTCCATCAAAGCACATTCCATTCTTAATGATCTGTGTATACTACAATTCTGTCAAGTTTACTACATTTGTTTGTTGACTTGTTTGTTTACTTGCTTTGTATTTTTGAAGTCATATGAGGGCAGTTTCCAATAATTAATGAGGAAAACAAATTTAATGTCAATTCCTTTGTTTCTTTCTCGATTCCTTTTAGGTGGATCATCTTGCCTCCTGATATTCTTCTCTCTCTTGGTCGTGGTGATAGCTGTGGTGGTAGGATCATACTTCTACTGTGAGAGTAACCCATCATTACCAGCCTGCGTGACCGCACATCAAATATTGGATCAAGCTAGCACGAAGATCCAGCACTGGAAGAGAGAGATTGAACAGATATTGCAGTCATGGCAGTCATGAGAGAAGAAGTGATTTAAACTGTACAAATGTAGAATGGACTATGGTTGAAGGATCATGTTTTCAAATTAATCAACTAACAGAGACACTTAAACCGCATCCAGTTCTAAAACGGTTTGATTCCTTTGTCCCACTCTCTCTCTCTCTCTCTCTCTCTCTCTCTTTCTCCCTCCCACTCTCTCTCTCTCTCTCCCTCCCTCCTTCCCCCCTCCCTCTCTCCCTCCCTCCCTCTCTCTCTCTCATAAATAAGAGTATTCTTATCGAGAATGGTATATACCCCCCCCTCCCTCTCCCCACCCTATGCAGTCCTTGACACTTGCATATTATCAGAGCCAGAGGTGATTGGTTGTAAATGGCGCTTCTTTCCTGAGAGAGAATGAGATACTGTCCACTTGGTTTCACAACTCAGCATGGAATAGTTCTGAAAACTTTGTTAACATCCATTGGATAAATACCTCAAGAGACATACACTTCCTTTTTCATAAATTTCAAATACTCTTTAATACTTATATCTTATTAACTCTCTACCTGCTTCAGTCAACTTATAGAACAAACAGTGGACTGCCACAGTCAACATTTGTATTACACACACGATTTAATTATGAAGTACACTCCAGAACACTGTGACAGTCTGGAATTTCAATCTGTAGTGGATAGAGAGTTAAAGCAGGACTGCACTACTTGTAGCTACGTGTGCCCTCTATATAGCAAACAATGCCTAAGTGGTACCCGTTGGTCCCCCATGATCCCCTTTTTCTTATGTTAATTGAGAGCTGATTTGATGAGATAACCACCTGTCAGTGACCATGAAGGGAGGTCTAATCCCTCCTGGCCAAACTAGTGCAGACAGGCTTTAAATAATGAAACCTGACCCGGGTCTAAGGGGAGTATAGCAGCCAATATGACTTCTACCAAGGTCCAAGTTATTGCTTTTTCAAGTTTGACTTGTTAAAGCATAATAAGCTTGGTGTACATGCAGTTCAAGTTTATATCCAGTATTTTGTTTGAATTTCAGGGTAAAATCAAGGCCTTGTCTTTTTTATTTCTTTTTTTCCCTTCTCTTTAGTATTTTAGCCGTGCATATTGCATAAAGGTATGTTGTGCAGCACAGCTGATTTATTGAGAATCTCGTACAGTATTTGTAATCATTTCATTTGCAATATCTTTTTTCAGGACAGGCCAAACCAAAGCATTGCTTCATCCTGTTAATTTGAATAGGAAAAACAAATACAAGTACATTTTTTGTTGTCCAAATGTGTGGTAAAGAAAATGCAATTTTGAAGTTGATTTTGAGATGATTTCATCTGAATATGCTGATCTTATCATTTCAAGATATAAATAACATTTTTTGGTATTAAAGACTATCCTTACTTGACTGGAGTCCATCGTAATGTGATTAGTGGAAATGGTGTAGGGAGTTTTTAAATCCCTCAAAGAGATTTAGAAGAAAAAAATTCATGTTAGTGTTGATTTTCTTGTAATAAATATCATTTCCTGAATGTCCTCATCTGTAATATCTTACAATTTTTTTGATCATACCAAAAGTTCATATACTGTGAAGCAGTGGTGAGGTGACAATGATATTAAAAAGGGAAATAATTTGTGGCTCACAATGTTTGATAATGGTAATGCAATGTTGATGGGTTTTTTTTTAATAACTTTTTATTACACTTTTATGGATAAAGGGGAACTCTGAAATTTCCCTTTTTCATAAGGCACTCCCTTCAAATGTTCAGGAAAAACAAAAAGCAATTGTCCCAAAGGCAGGACATTGTTGCTGTATTATCTGTAGCTATGGGGGCAAAAATTGTTCTTATCCACAGTGTTTTTGAGTGTTGATGGAGACATCAATTGATGTATAAGTTGTTGCTTTTGCTGTAGTATTTAATTGGTGAATGTTATGGAAGATCAGCTTTGTACTGATATTAAATGAATTAATTTGACTGAAGAAAATACATTCCATTAAACATCATCTGTAGGTTTCATTTTGTAACATGACTTAAACACATATAACAGGGTGCTCAGGTATGCACAATGATATGTCTGTCTTAAGCTGTAATTATATTTAACTACCGGTAGTGGTATAGCATGGTCCAGCTATGGAGGGGGCTTTGATGTCATGGGGGGGGGGGGGAGCACCGGTTTAGTAGGTGGATGAAATGTGAATCAACAGGGCTATTGAGTATGGGAGAGTGCGGGAGTTGGTCATATCTTTTTTACAATTGTTTTTTCCTTACATTTTCACTCTCCTTTGGCTTCATCTTTTTTTTTTTGAGGGGGGGGGGGGGGATTTGCCCTACTTGCCCCCCTTCCTGTATGTATCTATGCCACTATAACAAATGTTGTTGAAGCAGAAAGCCAAATTCAATTGTTCTCCACCAGTGTGTAATTATTTTCATTTCATTTTCATTCATCACTGTACTGCTCTTATGAGATTTTAGGGTAAAAGATTCTATAAAGACTGTAAAGATACTTGTTTCATTCTTTGCTTTTTATTTCTTGCCTGACAGTTTAAATGAATGTGCATACAGATGAAAAGTCTTTTCTTTGATGTAACGGTAAACCCTTTAAAAAATTGCTTACAACAATGTGGTTAATTCCGTTGAAGAGTTTCAGTTTCAGGAGTTGTATGTTGGTTTATTTCCAATGTCATGTTATATTCTTAATGTATATTTTATTCATTTTCAAAATGGATTGCATGTTGTGATAAGCATAAAGATGCCAAATATTTTTTCTTTTGCAAATAATATATACATGTTTACGTATATATACATATATACAAGTGGTTTACTTTCTTTGAATCTCATATTTATAATTTAAAGGAATACTGGATGCAAAATTTGTTCTTTGCATCTAAAATATAAAGGCTACATGTGATGTCATGCCATTGTTGGCTAAAATCGAGCCTCCAGGTTTGGGAACTTTATGAGGTTTGATAATGCAATTAATAATTTTAATTATCTACATGGAGTTTTAAGATTCTTTCAATTTCTTTCAAGACATACAGAAATGAAATGGAATAAATATATTTGATTTATGAATGAACAAAAGTTTGAAAGCTGCATTTGTTTGTAGACTGAATTAATTCTCGTTATTCAGAATGATCATTTAAATGATGGGAGACTTATACATGTATTTTGAGTTGCCAACTTTTTCAAGACATTCCCCCTCCCTCCCTCTCTTTTCTCTCATTCTCAAGGGTATACAATTACAGTATTATTTTCCCATCAAGAACTTCATAGCTTCTGGGGCTTTGCCCTATTAAAACACACCAGACTCTGAGGTTTTGCAAGTAGAAGAGATGGAGAGAGAAGGAAGACAGTGGGGGGGGGGGGGGGGGGGGGGGAGAGGGAGAGAGGGAGAGAGGAGAGAGAGGGAGGGAGGGAGGGAGAGAGAGAGAGAGAGAGAGATGGAGAGAGAGAGAGAGAGATGGAGAGAGAGAGAGAGAGAGAGAGAGAGACCGGCAGACAGACAGAATTTATAATAATTTCACAACTTCCTGTACATATTTCCTGTCGCAGTACTAATGATCCATCTTGAAAATTTTAATATTCCAGTGCCAACATAATATTTATCTTTACGTACAAAAGTGACAACCATAAAACCATTTGTTGATTATGCAAAAATACACAATACACAAATTTCTATAGCATGAAGGGAATCTTTGGTAAAACATTACATCAACAAGCGGTGAGATAACAAATACATTGCACATAAAATCTAAGAAAGCAAAGTGAAACAAAAGAGAGTTATAGCTGATAAGATGAGCATTTGAATGATCGAAAGACAACAGTCTATTTTACTCTGGAGATGCCCAGGATGCAAAAAATAGCATCCTATAGTCTTTACTCTTAAAGGTACTCATTCATACTTCATTATTGTCAGACCTTGCTTTTCATATTGGTGAATACCAGTATTGCATATAATGCTGAACACACATGTGAAACAGCTAAACGACTTTGACTAAGATATCAAATACATTGTACAATGAAAATACTATCATATCAGTAATTCTGAACATGTACAGTATTGTATAAATAGATCTATATGAAGTTACACGTTTAATTCTTCTGAATCTGATAATATCTGGATAATGATATAATACGATTACATATAAAATCTCAAAACAGAGTCAACATTTACAAACTACATTTTATTTCATAAGTATATATTAAGTTGGAAATCTCTCATATAATTTTGTTGCTATATGAATTTCCTCCTCATTGGCAATATAAAACATCAGAACTAAGATTTGAATAATTGCATAGGTTTGAGGGCTGAACTTTGTAAGATGGCAGCAAAGAAATATGAATTGAAAAATAAACTTATAAACAGTAGATTTTAATCGCAACTTATTTCGATTTATATCAATCACAACTATGTACATGAGAGATAGGAGACTACAAACTTGCGGTTGATTGGAGGACTTGGGATTGATCTGAATCAATCGCAAGTCTTTATTAGACAGGGCCCAGTACTCAACTTTATCTGTTATTATTACTGAGCTGACTTGTAAAAAGTCAAAAAATCCTCATGGAAATAAATAAAAAAAGAGCATACAAAAATTGCATTTAGCAACTAACATGTATGTACTGTAAACCTTAGATGACCATGAACAATAATGCTAAATATACTACTCATTGCAGATGTAGTACCGAGAATAATATCGCTAGAGATATACGTTTGTCTCGCAATGTAGGGTCAACAAGGGATCTAAAAGATCACGAAGCAGCGGCGCATGAAACGTCGTGATCTTTTGAACAGTCTGCATCACTATCAATACAACTACTTTCCAACATCAAAGCGCACAAAACTTTGCAAATATGAAACATTATAGAATTTTAAAAAAAACAATACTGCATACGGTTTACATCACACATTCAAGCACATGAAGCACCTATATAATAGTACAAACCTGCTTTAGTGACCAGTGACCACCTGTATAGAAAGACCACATTTTTTGTTTTCTTAAAAAATGATTTCTCAATGAAATATGTTCTTGGTTAAATAAAGACCACTTATCTTGTCTCCCTCGGGTGGTCATTATAGACAGGTTTCGCTGCAATGGCTACATATAAACGTTAGATGACACATATATTTTTGCACAGATTATCGGCGCATTTGCTATAATATACATGTACAACACCTTCTTAACTTTCTTCCCCTGTCCTGAAAAGAACTGCCAGCACTTGCATATTACCTACATAATTAATTTTCAGTCACTCCAATAGTTCCTCGTACAGCAAAACAGAAGGTTTTCTATGATTCGTAACTGTGAATAAGATTCATTATCAATTTAAAAAAAAATTGGACAGTTCACAATGCACGAATGAATTCAAAGTACTAGTACTGGATCAACTGCACAAGCAAATTAAAATGAGACTTAAAAAAAACTTTGTAGGGCTTTGTAGAGATGAAGTACTCTAATATTACCCTTTATAAATCTAATTGCACGTCTCTGAATGTTTCTAATGCAAAGCTATATATATATATATATATATACACATATGTCTCAAATAAACTAACATTCATCTCCAAACTCAAGTATATACATCCTCTTTTCAGCATCAACTGAAACATTATACAAAATATCTGAATGGCCGGTACAAAATACTTGCAAGCTACAAAAATACGCTGCAGAAAGTATTAAAAATACTTACCCTAAAGTATCAAAATATATCTACAATAAAGTGATTATGTGAATACATAGCCTGGTATGTACATAACGGTATATATATATTGTATTGCTTCTGCCTTTCAATAATTTGGAGGCACCAAATCGCATTTCATTATGCAGATTGTATATGCCGAGTTTTTAAGTAAGATTCTAAGGTATTCCCTGCTAGTCCATCAATTGGTAATTAATTTAGAACCCTGCGGTAGGACTTTTCAGACCTTATAACTTGAATATACAATATGCATAATAATGTATAAATAATCATACAGTAGTCACTGTAAGAAATGGAACTCGCATTTACAGGGTAAAAACAGAGCTGCAATAGACGTAACATAAAAGGGTGGATAGCATGAGTATTATCAGAGGAATACATTACTGATCCGAAGACATGAAGAAGATTGAACTTATTAAGAAGCTATGAGATGTTTTATGCAGCAAAGGCAACATATTGCTATACTGAGGAAAACAAAGTCTTTTGCCTTCCTATGAATATTTTACACACAAACCTGCACAACTAGCCCACTGTACAATGACCAACATTACAGTGACCATGATATGTGGACACAGTTCACACCATGTTCCAATGCCTATTTTGATGGCACAGATAACTAAACTAGACAGGTCATTGCCATCTGATTCAACTGTTCATTACTGTTTCAAGCAAACTCGTCATATGTTTCCTTTGCTAAGAGCATTGTAAAGGGACAAGACTGAATCCACCAATTTAATATTCAATTCCATTCAATTCAATATGATGATTTGTGATGTTATGGTGTGTGGCAAAGTGTGAATTTGATTCATATTGGTCTGGGACTATGGAGGCCAGATATATTTTGGTGAGTTTCAGCAGTCCAGATGACATCCAAGGCTGAAGGTCCTTGCAGTCTGAGAGATGGTGGTTGGTGTGATGGTGAGCTGGATGATATGATGGTGAGCTGGTTGAACTAACGTTCTATTGGCCTTGGACTGTGCAACCCTGAGATGTCTTTCGTGAGTGGAGGCTAGTTCAGTAGTCCAGATGGCGGCCGAGGCTGAAGGTCTTTGCTAGCTGAGAGACGATGGGTGATGTGATGGTGAGCTAGTTGAACCAACTTCACATCGGCCTTGGACTATGCAACCCTGAGATGTCTTTCGTGAGGGGAGGTGAGTTCAGCAGCCCAGATGGCGCCCAGGGTTGGAGGTCTTTGCTGGCTGAGAGACGATGGGTGATGTGATGACATATTGTGTACGTTGTGTCCACTACTTGAGTTAGAACTGTCAACACTTGCCTGCAGGATATAAGCAAAGCATTTTATATGTCTGGTGTTGAGTTTTGTTCAATGAATTCATTCAGAACTGTCGATGATGATGATGATGATGAACAGCATTTGTATAGCGCCATTTATCTGCAAAAGCATTCAAAGGCGCCGTCTGATTTAAATACAAACCACCTTGTACATCAACCTGAGATTCACTATGGTGAACAATCTGTGAGACAAGCATATCACTTGATATACAATAATACAAATATTTAATTATTAAGACATCAAACATTTGTTTGACTCGTTACTAGTATCTTCATTACAAAATGGTATTTGTGAATTAAGTAGACAAATAATATGAAACTCGTACAACACATAATAAAGCTAATTAATGTATGTGTGCCCATTGTGTGTTTATTTGTGTAATTAAGTTTCTATTATTCATCAATTTGTCTTTGTATCTACTTGGTATTTCTAGTGTTGTTTTTTTCTCTCTCTGCATTTGCTTTTTTTCTCTTCATATTCCATACTGTATTTTGTATTATTATTTGTATGTTTTTATGATTATGGTTAAATAAAATATCTTGAATTAATAAACTGACCTGTGTAACTTTGGTACGCAGTCAACTGTAACAAGATCCCCTCTCGTCGAGGTGACATTGAAGCTTCCATTGCAGTCGCACTTGATGTGAACGTTCGAGTCTGGTCGACGATTCTCTATCACGATGAAGATTCCCGCCCATCCGTGGTCCAGATAGTAGCATGTCACACCATCTCGACCCTGTCATCAATACAGGAATGTAGACATAAGGCATCTATCCTCATAAGCTATGCATGGCTCCACGCCAACGATGGGCTAGTGCCATTTGGTAAGGCACTAATCCTCATCACCAAGTCAGTCAGAGAGGACTTATAGCCATCATTCCTTGGTCGCCCACTTACAAGCATACTCATGGTTTCTTAGAAGTCAGGTAAAACAAACCATCAACCCAAAGCGTGCCCAACTTCAAATTTTAAGTGGTCATAAATAAAAAGAATGTTAAAATGTGGGGGTCATCATAAATTTTACAAAATGTGCATTTGGACCTGGTCAAGGGTTTGAATTAATAATTCAGTTGTCACCAGAGAATGTACCAAATCCCCCCCCCCCCCCCATCCCCCAATCCTAAAATATGACTCCTTAAAAAAAAAAGTCCCTAAACCTGTGGTCCAGAAGATAAGTCTCCAGTAAATGGGTACATGGCAGGAGTTAATTCCTTAAAGTGCTCGAGCGCTGTAATGGCAGCGCTCATAGTAATATAGCGCCAGGAGTGGCAATATGCCAGACTTGAGTGACTTCACTATTATTACTTGTTTTTTAGACTCATTTACAAAATGAAGATTAAAACAAACGAAAAAAATTCACCAAGTTTTGATTCACAAAACAGCACTTAAGGTCTCACCTCGTGTCTCTTGCCTTTCTGTATTGCCAGCTGTATTACAGCATCAGCCAAACATCCATTGGAACCCGTCATATGTCTTGCTTCTATAGGCTTTGCGCTGTGTATGGCCAGTGTGTAGTCGTGTGCGCTGCTGTTGCTGACTGCCGGCTTAGATGGACCTAGTAAAGATCATACAGACAGAACATCGCACTGTAAAGCTTTGTTACAAATCTAAATGTAAGACATGCATTTTATGAGAAGACTGAAAAAACAAAAATCCAGGATTTAAAACATAGGGGCTCTGTAGCACATTATATTCGAGTGCAATTCGAAACTGCCATGCTTTCCTGGGCCCCGTCTTACAAAGATTTGATATCAATTGCGCAGCTATGTACATATTACAGGAGACTGTAAAGTTGCGATTGATTTGGATCAATCGTAACTCTTTGTAAGGCGGGGCCCTGGTGATTTGGAAGGATTAGTGGTAGTGGTAGAAGTAGTGAAAGTAGTTTGTGGTGGCTCTCATGGATTTTGACATCATTGAGTGTCTCACCAATAACAAATCTTGTCAATCACCAGGATAAGATCTCAGTTTTATGACCAACATGTTTCCATCAATCACCCCATATGGGAAAGTCAATATTTTACATTTCCATCACCTAAGACTATCTGGGAAACTAAGGGTATTTCTTGATGGGACTACGGGTTTGCTGTGCGCGAGACATGTACACCCATTAATTGTATTTCCACCAAGTCTGGTGTCAGCGAATTATGACCTACTGCACATGGAAACTGACTACCATCTCCCTTTAAAGCGGTACTGCACTACTTGTAGCTACTTGCGCCCTCTATGTAGCAAACAATGCCTAAGCGGTACCCGTTGGTCCCCCATGATCCCCTTTTCCTTATGTATATTGAGAGCTGATTTGATAAGATAACCACCTGTCAGTGACCATGCAGGGAGGTCTAATCCCTTCTGGCCAAACTAGTTCAGATAGGCTTTAATATTCTGGAAACAGCAAATTGCTATTAAAAAGAAAAAGAATGTGGATTAACAGGCCCCTGTTGACTGCATACCACTTGTTGGTTGTCCAGTCTTCCAATGGTTGAAAGCAAGAGGTACAATCACATAGATCCCCGGGTCCAGGAAAGCACTGCAACCTACAAACGCCCGCAGCTGACGCTTGCAGAAGGTCATGACCTTTGACATGCCCCTGGTCGTCATGCCGATGGCCTTCATGACGATTAAGGCCAGGTCCAGCGGGTTTCTGGATGCCTTCTCCAGCCTCCTAAGAATGAAAATTTGGAAACAATTATCCCTCCAGTCACTTAAACAATGGTTAATTACTTCAAAAGACTAGCTGAGACAGGAAAAACACATAACAAACTAAGCTTACTCTAAAAAGTTTCCTGAACTTCCACACCAAAATAACATGTGCACCCACTCACACACTAGCTATACCCGAACAAGAATTACGAAAGTATAAACACACTAACAAAAATGTATACAATAGAAGACCAAAAAAAGATTATTTGTGAAATATTCAAAAAATTGTTTAAAAATGCTTTGAAAAAATGGCTATTAAAGATTGCACCAAAATGCATCTAGAATATTAAACAGAGGTTCCTAGACCTCAACCACCCGCAAGGGACGGTATGCTTATAATATTGCACATCGTTTCATACTCCCTCAAGGTAAGGAACCCATTCAGTTAGTACTTCCAAACGACAACAACACAGGAGGACAGAAAAACATTGCATAGCACTGAACTATAAAAATTGTTTTAAAAATTACAAATATACCATGAACAATGAACACATAAACTCTTTATCCGCCTCAGTAAACTCATCGAACAACAGTGACTGCCATCCATTGTCAACTTTTGGCACAAGTTCTTTTGACAAAGAGACAACAATGTGTCTGTGTAAATGGACAATGTTCTGTGTGGTTACCAGTCTTTAGTGGCACTCCACAGGGCACAGTGTTAGGCCCTCACCTTTTCCTACTCCACATCAATGACATCCAATTTGAATGTACAATACAGTTAAAAAGGATGTGACAGTCTAGGATTTTGGCGGCCATAGCAGATAAAAAGGTCAAAGTCAATAATTGAGATTATTTCACATACCTCCACGTCTGGTAGAGAGTGAAGTCCACTTCCGTGGCCTCTGTGACCTTGAGGATGATGACCTTCATGGGTGTGGCCGAGGAGGGTAGGAAAGTCCCTGCTACCCTGTTTTCAGACCACTTGGGGCGAACCTTGCAGATGTCTATGCAGTCAAAATACCTTATTGGAAAATGAAGAAAGGGGTAAGACTTTTTTTACAACTTGTTTCAATAAATAAAAATTGTAATTTCAATAAATAGCCATAACTCAGTGTATATTCAATCCCAAGGAACATCCATAGCCACATTGAAAATAAAACGAAAAATAAAACTATATAGACAGACTAATGTTCATTAAAGTAAGCAAAACCTGAAATGTAATCACATGGGGCTAATTTGTTTATAACAAAACAATAATTATAAAAGCAAAGCAATACAAAACATTATCTAAATACATTTACAAGAAAATAAACCTCAAAGTAAACACAACTAATGCTTTCAAAAAGAATACAGGTGTTGAAAATATATGAAATATGATTTATTGAAAAGGTATTCTACCATGTTTTGCCTCCGATGGTCTTTCAAGTCATTCAAATCTTGAACAATTTGTATGAACTCATATTAGGAGAAAGATTCCTTACTTGATCATGTCACCGAGTGACATCCAAAATATTCCCTCGCTTGCACCATGGGCCATGAGGGCTTCTTTCATGACGTCAGTCCATAAAGCCGAGCCATCGGACCACGCCCCATTCCAAGAGAAGTGACCCCAAGGATTCCGCAGCTGTATCAACCTGAGGATGGGTAAGTCAATTAAAGGCATCGTTTAGCAATGTTAAATCTGAGATGCATGGCCCTGTGTGTTATCAGTGTCTGTGATATGGTGTAATATTGAAGCCCTAAAAAAATTGCGCTTCCAAATAATCATGAAGTGCCTCAAAGAAGTAAAAATCTTTAAGTGACCGGCTTTTATACTCATTTTTCCCAATAGACTGTAGTGTTATAAAAACCGTTAGGAAAACAAAAAATGAAATTTCGATTTCCAATTATAAATATCTTGATGATCAGACAGGCGATCGGCTTGTAAAAGTCATGTGATTCCTGACTAAAGGTTTACAATTATGATTGCAGCATGAGCTAAATCCAGGATATTGTTTCAGAATCTGAGGCAATGTTACAGAGTCATTTTAATCTACAAGAAGGACTAGCATGAGGTATTTTGGACAATATATTATATAGAGAATTTTTTATTGGGCTGAAGTCTGCGTTATGTGTTGTCACTTTAAGTTCAGAACTCCGCAATCAATTTGTTAACATGAGACCAAAGTACCAAATGAACATTACATATACAGGTTTCTCTGTATTATATTCACTGTGACGGTAAAAGCTACATGTACATTATGTTACCTCTTTCCACAGATGTCCTGGATGTCGAGCACGGAGTATGAGTGTCTTGGTCTCAGTCCCACGTCTTGGTATAGCTGCGGGTCAATCTTCATGTTACCACTCCCACAAGATGCTCCCATCAGATAACTACCATAGATGTACATCAAAATTATTTTTGTTAGCTTTTTTTTCTCCATCCTAATCTGCTGAAACTAACAGTAGCAATGATTCAGTCTGTGAAATTCATATAACATAATAATCTGGGCTCTAAAGGGGCTGCAGGTCCTACATGATAAAGCAGTTTTGTAACTGACAGTGCTACCCTTTATAATCAAATCTTACTGATAGAAAAAATAAATATGATTTTTCAATTGAATGTATGAGTCTGTAGTAGCTTACTTTCACTTTACTCTAACGATTTAAACATTTCTCTTTTGGACATCTCTCAATTTTAATTGTTTTTCTTTTCTTCATCTCTTCTGCTTTATTACTCTATTGAAGTAAATATTAGAAGCCTAGAGGTGCAAGGAATATTATGACACTAGAAACAAATATGCATAAATTGTGAATACAGACAATAATATTACGTATTCAATATCAGTTTTTTCTTCCTTTCTTTCAACAAAGGGCTAATTACAGAGAATAAGAGTTGTTAGTACCATCTATTCACCATATGTCAGATATGGGGAAATCCCTCAAAATGTGGATGAGCATTAACAATGTGATTTGAACACCTAATTTGCTAACGTCTACAATCCTTACCCGGCTTCCTTGGCGCTAAGCAGCTTGGCCCATACAAGGTCAGGATCCGCCGGCTTTCGACCCTTTCCTGGAGGAAAATAAAGAAATGGAAAGAGATGAATGGCTGTGTGTTACCTCTGCCTCAAGGTAATAGTTAGGACGAGATCTGTTTATTGTTTAGACTGTAAACTATGTAGCTTGACACACATGCCATGGTGGTGGTGCTTAGGTGGATTAGGGTTATGACTAGGCTTATGATATGATGATGGTGATATGATGATGATATGACAAAAATTATGAAGATAATGAAAACATGGATAATACTTAATGACGATATTGAAGAAGATTTTGACGAAGCTAATGATGATGGTAGTGATTTTGATGACATTGCAAACAATGACAAAGATTTTGACGATGACAACGATGAAAAAAATGCAATTACAGTCAAACCTGCTTTAGTGACCACCTGTCTACAAAGACCACATTTGTTGTTTCCCTTGAAAATGGCTTCTCATTGACACATGTACTAAAGGAACCTGTCTTCAAAGACCACCTGCCTACAAAGACCACTTTTCATGTCTTTCTTGGGTGGTCTTTATAGGCAGGTTTCACTTTACTACAATGTACTTACCAGATGCATGTAGCTGTACACTCTCACATGGTGCACCTGTCAGTGTAGCCAGACCCTCTATACATCTTCCGGCTGTCAATGCCTCATAGCATCCACTCATCTTGGCCAAAGCTTTCTCTATCAGTGGTACCCATAGCTGCTTTCTCTTTGCCTGAAACGAAGCAGTAAAAAAAGCAAAAATATCTGGTTTAATACATGACAAGAGGAAGTTTGACAAATTCATGTTTTTTTATTGGTTATGTTTGGTACCGGCAAAAGCTGCTTTCTCTTTGCCTGAACAGAAGCAGTAAAAACATCAAAAATATCTGGCTAAATACATGAAAAGAGTACTTTTAAGAATTCATGTTTTTATTGGTTATGTTAGCACCATGTATGTCATCATGTAAATTATCTTTTTTATCATCTCCTTCCTCCTTCCTTTGGACTTTGCTTTCAAAGGCTAAAAAGTCCTGTAATTCAGTGTTACGTTTAAGAATAATGGCTATACATATTCTGAAGTTGAATTAGAAACTAACTTTGAGAGACAAATGCTATTAATGCATATTTTCAATGATATTTCGATGTCCATGTAAAATTTATTCAACAAAATATAAGGGTCCTTAAGCTATGAACAAGTAGTAAATATATGCAAATCATGATTTTGCGGCTGAATGATTCCATTTCACCCTTATTTTCAACTACGGTAATGATAATATTATACATACTACAGGAGTAATCATTAAATCTTTAGTATCCTTGATAGTGACGTCAATAGTTTGGCACATGGTAGGCATCCATGCGTGTATTTGTGGGGTGTGTAGCTTAATGACCGGCGTAGCTCCTAGAGGTGTTTCACAAAGACTAAGATCGACTTTAAGTTGGACTTAATATATGGCAGGACATTCATGCCACTAGTTGCTCTCACCATTATGAACTTCAGATAATATTTTTTCCTTCAATAATGAATTATCAACAAATGTAAATCCTGTAGATTTGTGACCATGATTTGTACGTCCCTTGAGAGAAAAATGCCAGTAAATGGTGAGGGCAAATAGTGGCATGAATGGCCTGCCATAGTTAAGTCCAACTTAAATTCGATCTTAGTCTTTGTGAAACGCCCCCAGGCTCTCGACCATACTTACCTTAGAGTACACCAGGCAGCCTTGTTCCTGGCAGGGTAGTAGATCGTCTACGAGGACCATGTCCCATATTCCATCTCGGCACAACCGCACTTGATAGGCACCTTCCGGGTTGACCTCGTGTGTGATCATGATACGCTTCAGCAGATCTGCCCTCTCGGCTAGCACAGACAGAGCACTTAGAAACCTGAAAGCAACAGCAACAATCAGCAGAAGAAATTAGCACAGATACTGCTTTGCGGAATCAAGATATGGATTGACCATGTATTAGGGCTCCTACCTAACCTTAATTTGCATTGGGAGCACCAATGTAACCATGCATGAATCCAATGTAAAGATCTTGAAATTGCGAGGGAAGGGGGGGGGGGGTGAGGGTGGCTTACTACCTAGAATTGTGGCACCCATATGTCCCTGGCGCCTCTTAGTGTCGAACCCTGTTATATTATATGCAAGTTCATTGAAGATTCTTGTAATCAATGATACTATAGCTATACATCTCCTATTGTTATATAATTATCTTATCCCATGCCCAAACTTTTCAACTTGCCCAAATACGTATTCAAGCCTGCAGTAATCTGTAATTGTGGTTTGTTACATCAACGTTCATCATTCATGCAAAAAAGTTTAACAGAAATTGAATTTGTGATATGTGTCATGCAGCACAGATCTACATGCACTAAACCTCATCCCGCTTATTTAGTAATTAATTTTAGAAACACTACCAGAAGTGTCATAGTCGAGTGGTTTAAGCATTGACTTGAAATTCAAAGGTCATGGTTCGATCCCCGATACGGCACTAATGTCCTTTGGCAAGGCATTAATCTTCATTTGCCACTCGACACAGGTGAGGTAAATAAGTACCTGGCAGGAACTAATTCCTTGAAATGCTGGAGCGCTGTAAAGGCAGCTAGGCTAAAGCCGGGGTAATAATAAATGCGCCTCGGAATAGAATTTCTAGATAGACTGCGCTATAGAAAAGCCTATTGTTATTATTATTATTACCAGCAATTTCCAAGCAATCCCTGGGATATGTCACTTGGTTTGGGGTTCCTGAACACCTCCCAGGGCAAAGGACTATCATCTCTGGCCTTGAGCTGAACAGCCAAGGGGCGTAACCACAGAAAATCCTTGGGTTGCTTCCCAGAGGAAGAGGTGAAGAACAAGGAATCCCTGGTAGGCGGGAAGCTGTCATCAATGAATTCTGTATTGAGCTACAAGGCGAGACAGTGACAGAAAGAGAGGGAAAGTTTTCATTAGTAAAAACATTAATGCTGTCTTACATCACTAACCAAAAAGTGTGTTGCATGATCATCACAGAGTTTGCAGGCCCTCTAACAAAAATTATCTATTGTGATATCATAGATAAGATATGCTATGGCCACTGAAGATAGGTTGTAATATGTTAAGAAATTGGATCTCTAAGGGATTTTAACAATAGCATTCTTTCTCCTTACTGCAGATCAACAGTAAAAATGTATCACAAAATATACTGAAAAGTGTGAATATTCATTTGCAAAATTATCCAGGGTGGTCCATGATAAAAATTCATACATGTAATATCATAACTTAATAAAGGAATATGGACTGATGTGCACAAAGCGCAGTCTCTCAATGTTTGGAAGCTCAGGTTCTTACATGCTTTCTGGTGCAATCTAGATCATATTTTAGAGCAATTTCAAACAAACTTTTTAAGACTGATATTTCAGAAATAATTTTGGTTGAGAATGAACTGTAACCGGTTGCTGATTTCCAATCCTGTCATGACAGAATTTGAAACCTATCGCTGATACATGTTAAAAACATTTGTGGACTATCCTAGTTTATCAATCGATAATGGATATCTTACCATTTTACAGGACTGTCTGATGGTATTAACCCTCTCCAGAGCTAATGCCACATCTTGTTTCCTCCTTGATTCTGTCATGACACTCTTCTGTCTCTTGAAAGCTCTCCGCTGAACGGTTGTCTCCCCATCCATGAAAGGCTCGTTGCTGCACTTCTGACAACTTGCTGCTTCATCAGGGTTCATGGTCTTACAGACAGAGCAACTCCAAACTGCACCTCCCACGGCCCCACTGACAGAAGGCCGCTGGGTTTCGCACATGCAGCACTGTACCATCTCATCCAGGTTGATGTAGGTACAAACGTGACATGCCCACTCGTTTTCCTTCGGCTGAAACAAGCTGCCATTGATTTCATCTTGAATGGACTTCCTGGAGCCACATACTTTGCACTTCTTGCAGTTTTCTTCATTGTGCAACGTACACTGCTGACAGGACCAACCTTTCCGACGAACCGCTGTCCTGTGCTGGTATTTCTTAGTGCCATCATCTGCACCGGGGTTAGGTGATGTGGGTTCTACATCTTCCTCTGTTAAGTCAATGATCCTTTCACCCAGCCCTTCTGGAGAACTCACAGGAGATGATGACGACGATGAAGCGTAGAACGGCGATTCCGGTGAAGTCCCTCCAGATGCCCCCGGGATGTCACTCTGAAGATTTAAAGGTAGAAAGGAATTATTTTCAACTCCAGTCAGTTGTTCAGGGAATGGAAACTCTGTACCCGGCTTAAGAACAGAAGGAGAGATAAGATGGTCAGGTATCTCGGTCGGAATGAACGGCTGTCGCCTGCCTGCACAAATGCCGCAAAACATAGCCGTTTCCTCATTTTTAAATGTACAACGTTGACAAGGCCAATCCTTGCTTGAAGAAGTTGCCGGAGTCTTCATTTCAACCCGTATGCCTTTGCCTTTCTGGGGCGATAAGGGTTCTTCATCCCTGGCTGTCCTTGCCTCTGACTGAGAACGTGGGCTCGACGGTGGGCTGAAAGAATTGATTATCCCTGGGATAATTTGGTCAGAGATGTAGTTCTTTGCGGCTCTAAACATTGAGACGTCCCTGGCAGGTGATGGTTGTCCTGGGCCAGGGTCACCATCTCGTTTGGTTAGATCCACTACAACAGGCTCATCCTCAGGACGTGGTGCTTCACAAGCCTGACAGGAGTTGACTTGACCAGAATTGATCAGGGTACAAATCTTACAGGTCCAACGACTGTCAGGTTCTGGTGATCTTGGGTTGCCAATTTCTTCCATCTTGCATTCTGTAATGAGGAATAAACAAAGCAAAAGAAAAATTTCAGACATCTACGGGTATAGAATCCTTATATTATACAGAATTTGAGTGTAATTTCATTGTTTATAGTATACTAATCATTGATTGTGATCTATGTATTCCAACTCATCCAATGTTATGAGGTTGTGTATTTCATTCCATGGACTAGACCAAAAACTTCAGTCTCTTATATCGACGATTGTACCCCTGAGACTACCGTCTGGCTCCACTGACCACCTCTATACAGAGTATATCATATATCATATGTGTACAGGTCAGTGAGGGGGGATTACGCAAATGTAGTCTGTTTGTGATTGACGACTCATTGTACACATTAATTAGCTTCAAGAAAATGGACAGCTGAGATCAGCTGAAAGTAAGCCCTTAATGTTTTACAATGATTTTTGACATGATCTAAACAAAAGATTGCTTTCAAAATCTCAGAAAATCTTTTTGAAAGCTATTTAATGTATATTTAAAAGTTTAGATACTGAATTCGGCATAACTTAATGAATAAGAGCACCGTTTTTATCATTATTATGGAATGATGTTATAAGGACACAGAAAACAAAGCGTGGGACTGTAGTGTAAATTGTACACACATATAAACATCTAGATCTATATAGAGTCTAGGCTTAGACGCTACATTTTATTATACGGAGGAAAACATGTTAATACTGACCGTCAGAATATTATTGTTGATGATATGTCGGTGAATTCCACTGGAAAAAAAAGGGAAATCCGAAATCACCTTAATCTGTTGTTTATTTGTAGCCCGCACCCACTGACACAGTCACACACCACTTCCCGATTCTGTATCTTTTGCAGAAGAGAAATACAAAGTATACACGTACAGTAGTTGCGATATTTCAGATATATAAATAAAAATAAATATAAAATAAAAGGAAAAACTAATTTTAGTGCAAGTATGAACAATAATTATTTCTTTACAATTATTATTGATATTATTATCATTATTATTATCATTTTTTGTATTGATTATTATCATTTTTTGTATTATTATTATCATTAGTATTATTATTATATTATTGTCATTATTATCATTATTATTACTACATGTATTTAACATCACCACCATCATCGTTTGATATCATCATTTCATCAATTTTTAAAATATGACACAATCTACAGTTCAAGTTGAAAATTATTTGTATTCAATAATGAGAATGAGAATGAGACTGAGAGCGATGAAGAATTAATCCAGACACTGTTTTAGATTGTGTATTGATATATTGAAATAGAACGAGTATGCACACCATTGTTCCCGACCCTGGACAATAAGTGAGGCAAGTACTTAAAAGAGTAAAATCCTTTTTTTTTTGCTTTTTTAAATTATCACTTTATCCAATATTAAAATTAAACAAAGGATTTATTATTCATACAGTATTCATGCAATATTCTATGCACTCCTTACTATGTCCCTTTTGCAGCCAACCTCAAATTCTGTAGAACTTTGCAGGAATTATGAATATGTCATGTATGTATAGCCTATCTGTGAAATTTAAACGTTAGCAGTGTCCTCATATTCAAATTATGCAAGGAAACCCGTTTACTTGCTAGACTTCACTGTCAGACACTATTGAGTGACTGACTGGCTTTTTTCTTCTTTGGTAATAACATACATGAAAAGAGTTGTAAAGGGTACATGAGCATTTGTCTACATCAATAACCCACTTCTTGTGATTGCCAAGATTAAGCTGATTGAATCTTTGCGCAGCATAAAACGTATGACCATTTCGGTACAATTGTCTGAAAATCAAGACTATTACTTTTGGGCTCAAAAGCCCTTAAGTCGATTTGACAACTAATAGTCATTATTTTCCCACTTGAAGACATTTTCAAGCCCCACCTTTTTTAGGGAAGTTCTAAATAAGTATTATCTTTCAAATGCAGTTGGAATTTAACTTTTTCATTTTTTGGCCTGCAAATGGGACATAGTACCTTTAAATATACACGCAGGGCGAAAAATCATTTTCAAAACACTTGAGACTAAGGGTTTGATTTCATAGTTCTTGCCCATAATTGGCTCCCAAGGCCCAGCAAGGGGGGCACATTCAGTGCCCTATCCACTTTTCAATTCCTCCCAAAGTACCCCTAATGTTTACATGCCCCCTTTTCCTTCTTATAAGCACCCCTTTTCATATTTAAGTGAGTGGCCCGCAGTCACCTCTGATAAGTGCCCCTTTTATTTTGACAAGTAGACTACCCCTTTTTCTTTCTAATAAATGCCCCTTTCCTTTATATTATGAGCACTTTCCACTTCACATAAATGCCTCTTATCACACCTCTGTGATATTTGCCCCTTTTCCTTTGACAAGTGTCCGTTTTCCTTTTTATTTAGTGCCCCTTTCCATTTGTATACGTGCCCCTATTCATCTCAGGTGAGTGCCCCTTTTCAAGTACAAGAAGCGCCCCTTACCACCTGTGATAAGTGACCCTTTTTAAATCTGGTACGTGCCCCTTCATTTATTCGGACACTTGTCCCATATCTTTCCTTAAAGGTGCCACTTTTCCTTTTGATAATAGCCCCTTTTCCTTTTTAATAAAAGCAACTTCCCCAGTCTCATAAATGCCCTTTTTTTAAAAAACCTCTGATAATTAAGTGCCCCTATTATCTGATAGACGCCCCTTTTACCTTCTCATAAGTGACTTTTTTCATCGCTTGTGGGTGCCCCTTTTCAGGTGCGATAAATATGATATACTTTCACTTTGAAGTTCCATTTGGAGGTGCCCCCCCCCCCCCCCCCCCTTTGAAAGACGCTCCGCCATCCCTGGTTATATGTGGAAAAGCGTTGGGTGACAGGCTTCTCTTTTGAAAAAGGTTCGCTATGCATCCTTGTAAACAGCTAATTTTCAATGTACACAGCCATAAAGCTTGACCTCGGCTTCACAAAGCATGCATGAGGATGCTGCTTAAGAAAGCATTTACAGACATAAGCTGACCACTGGTGCCGTTCCTTCAATTAAAGATTTAGAATACAATCAAATTCTTTTAAAGTTTCTCAAATACCATCAGTGTTCTCTGTCAAAAATCAAAATTGATGAAAATGAAATATTATGAAAAGATGGGCGTATTTCCACGTCTCGACCTATGCAGTTAAAAAATTCATTATTTCTACCCCTTCTAAATTTGATGTTTTTGTGTTCATCATAACTTAAGAATGAAAGGTGGATTTGATGAATTAGGGCTTGTGTTGAATACTTTTAGATGTATACATATAAGCTTTAATATGTCACTTTCTCAAGAAACATAACTCGGGACAGATTAACTTTCGCCTACTTAACAAATTACAAAACTTGGCAAAGGTATGAATGATTTAGTTGTCAACTGGATATGGCTTGTCAGTACGCAACACTCTATCATTAATATCTTTTGTAATTACTCTCACCCTTTATTTTGATTTAATTGATTATTAAAACCTCCTTCAAAGATAAACTGACAAACCTGTCCTTTCCATTTTGCTTTGTTCTGAATGTTCCAAAAATATCAATTTTCATGGTTGTAAATAACGACACATATTTTTTTACAGAGGGGATGTGAGATAAACATAGCTGGGGCAGTATAATGAAACATTTTATAAAGAAATTCAGTGTCCAATGCATGAAACAAGAGGGCGATATTCAACATTCTGAAAAAGACGGTTGATTACATTCTGTTAATAACAAAAAAGACATATTTTGATTGAATCCAAATTACAATATGCAACATGACATGTAGAAAAAAAGGTATATACCATCAGAAAGGGCTGTGGTGCGTCATTCGAGGGGAGGGTTGCACTAACATAGCACCGACTGAGGCTCTATATTATGTGCATGCAAAGCTTGTTATGCAATGGAACTGAATGAACTCTTCTGGCATCTATAGGCGTATCCATTCAGGGGCCCTCTACAAATTAAGGTTGTCTGTTGAGGCCGTGGAAAGTGAAGGGAGGAAGGGGCCAATGGGCTATCACGCTTATGGACATGATAATAATGATACATATATTTATAGTGATAATAACAATAACAATAACAACAATAACAACACTAATGATATAACAATATAAAAAAAGAAATCTGATTTTGAAGCTTGACTGGAGGCAACGCCTCATGAGGGGGCTTTCACTAATTTTGAATTTGATTTATAAAAAAAATTAAATTAAAGGATGTGTTCATGCATTGTCTATTATGGATGTTGGCTAGGACACAATTCACAAGCAAACGTAATTATTGCTATCACAAATATTTTTGGCCTTGTCAAAAGAAGCTGCATATAACAGGCATTATTAAAGCAAGAAAATTAGGCCATAAACAAAAGCCTTGGTAACCTATTTGTACTGTACAATTAATGTGTTCCTCCTCCTCCCCCTGTAGGCCTACTCCTCCTCTTTTTCTTCTCCTTTTTTTTTCTTCTCCTTCTTCTTTTTCTTCTTCTCCCTCTTTTTCTTTAGTTTCTCTTCGTCGATGTTCTTCTATAGCTTCTTAATCTTCTTCTTCTTTTTCTTCTTCTTCGTGTACTTATTATCATTTCTATCATTAGCAGTTCAATGTTGTTATTATTAATAGGTCTATCATCAATATTATATTTAATAACTTTTTTCTTCTTCTTATCTGTCTGTAAATATAATACGTTTTTAATTTACTAATTTTGTACATACATGACGGGACCCCACTGGAAATAAGCTCTCGAGCTTTCTTGTTCAAGCTTTCCTGTTCAAGCTGACTTAATTTTGATCTGTAGATCTTTTATATTGTTGTATGTTGGAGGCTTGGCGAATAAAATCAATCTCCACATGCTCCACACAATGCAATACACAAACAAGCATTTTTGGTTTGTTTACTTCCGGCTTGAGACTTCGACAATTTACTAACATGATTTGGTGGTTTCAGGCTTCAGGGAAGCCACATCATGCATCACCTCTCTATTTTTGTTTTTATTCCAATATTAAATTCCCAGTGACAATAAACTAGGCCATTTCATGTAATCAAATCATCAAATGATATTGTTTAAATTGAATTTACAGAAAGATTTATTACTTTACGATGTCCCATTGTCCCGAAACTTGTAAATATTATGTGGGATGTCAATTCCTCCAATCATATTAAACCGACGATGGCATGATAAAACATGATAATCAGTAGCTAGCTTAGCATGATGATATGCATGATGACATTTCATCGCGAAGTAAATTTGCATGGCCGCCGCACATCTCCGCACGGTACGGAGACATGCTCAGGAACGTTGGAGAAAAACTGTCATCTTTTCTAAGAATATGTGGTGCCAATTAGTATTACTTCGGATGAATATTACTGTTTGTACCTAACCTACTATTAGTGTAATAAAAACTTCTTATTTTAATCAGTGCATGTTGTTGTTTAGCCCAAAACAAGATCTCGTGTAAGCCGTTTCATTCGGAAAAAGGCGTTCCTCTCACGCCCGGATGGTAGGTCATCATAACATACGAGCAGCACCCCCAGCGTTCAGGCGTAGTGGATAAGGACGACACGGTGTTTTGCTTCTAGCTGTTGTGTGTACATGTAGCTAGTGACATGACTCTCAAACAATGCTGGTGGACTTGTGGTGGACTTGTATTGTTATCTTATAAGTCATTAGAATTGAATACCTACCATGCTCACCAGTGCAACTAATACTTGACTTAGCAGTAGCACAACAAGTAGCAGTCAACATTTTACATGACTGTCACTGTTCTTTGATCATCAGAAATTGACCGAGTCAGAGCCAGAGAGTACCATGTGAAGAGTGGCAACTTATTTGTTTTTACTACAGTACTAATTGTAATAAGTACTTTATCGTCCATCTTACAAGGACAATTAACTCTTTAAAAGCAGTAAATCATGGCAACACAAGTACTATACGAAGGATATCTCACCAAATCGCCTCCTGAACACAAGATTAACCGTGCGGTAAGTATCAAGTTAAATGAAATTATTAGAAGGTTTTATAGTCTTTCAAGTACTCTTGTAATTGTTATTTCTCTTGTTGTATAAAGATTAATATTTTCATGATAATTCATGTACTAGTGTTTCTGTCAATTGGTTATTGTAGACTGTAGTGTTACTGTTAGACTCTTGAACTTGTAGTATTCTGATTTTTTTAATTAATTTGAAAAAAATTGCTGTGTGTTAGTGAACCTAAGCCAACGTTTACATCTTGTGTTTCCTACCTAGTCTATTATATGATATTAAATCTTTTATTTGAGTAGAAACAGCAAAAAGTGAAATATATAGCAAATTTAACAGAGTTGCAATCACATAATAATTTATTTCTGATTGACCTACAAGTCCTACATACATACATGTAGGTCTACATGTAATATGTACATGTACATATTATATACCGTGGAATTTGATATCTTTGTGTGTAATTCAGGGCTATAAACTAACAGACGCCCGGTCCGGGCCTCGGTCCGGACCCCCAAGGAGTTGGTGTGGGGCTCTGATGTAAATGTATTATTTTGTTGTTATAAAATGGCCAGTGAGAATTTGAAAAGGGGAAGGAGTAGTAGGCCTACTATTATGTAACATTTACATTGTACATGGACTTAATTCTACTTCATTGGCACATGAACATGTATTACAAGCTAATCAACCAGTAGGGTGTCTTCAAAGTATCTAATGTTTTTGTTTCTTGTCTTTGAGTCATTTTGATATTTTGATTGAAAAATTAGGAAAATATGTATAATGTATATACAGTTGTTCTGAACTTTTGAATTTTCATCCTACGTGTAGACTACAGCACAGTGACAAAATTAGCGCAAATATTTGGCCCTCAATCTTGTTGCCATATTCTACGTACCGGTATTGTGCATCGTGGGTTCTTGTAAATTAAAGTGATAGTATTAATCACATTTTGCACAGTCAGATCCTGAATGAATGTGCTGTACATGCCATAGTCATCAACTTCTTCATCATTTCCTATTTGTCTCTCTTTTTCCCAGACCAATATTGTGGGTTGAGGAAGTACAATGTGGGTAGCATACAGGGCAGCGTTTCATGAAACCGTCATTTCAGTACAAGTTCACCGACATCCCGTTGAAACGTGTGTTAAACGTAATACATGCATTTCAACGGGATGTCGGTGAACTTGTGCTTATGACGGTTTGGTGACACGCTACCCAGGGTAATGTAAGGTTATTCATCTGTCCCAGTCTGTGCCACATCAAGAACATGTATTATTAGTCATGATCATGATACATTTATTTAGACAGATTGTGGTCTAATGGGTAGGTTGATGTCATCAAACTGGGATCAGCTGGTCGAAATTGCATTACCAATGTCCTTAGATGCAGGTCGATCCCACAAACAAATTTATTCAAATGTGTGGAATTGCAACTTGGAAGATATGATGCACTAGTTGCGCATGACGAGCATGAATCACGTTGTCCGTTTGGAACCGGAAGGACATTAACTCATATCGTTTTACGCAGAGTTAAAGTCTTTAATGCTCCAAACAGTGGATATCCTACAATGCCACTTGGGTCAGACACCTACATGTAAAGGTCATAAAACTATTGCATTTTTACTGGTAGGTCTAATCACTAATATTTAGGCTCATAAACCCATTAGCAACTAGAGATTTTGTAAAAATAGCCTATTACTCACTGGAATAATCATTTTGACATTGTTTTAAACAATATGAAACATGCGCTATTTTTCTATGCAGAATCCTACTGTAGATATTGTTAAAGGATTACGCACGTATAACATTATCACGGTAGAGTGGTAGACCCTAGAATGGATGCTATAGCGCGTTGAAAATGGACGAAAACAAACAGGCGGTTTTGGGCGGTTCATGACCCTAAATACAGTACATGTAGATTTTTATTTACCTTTATTCCTAACACACATGCATTGTACTGTAGTTCACATTTCAAAATTAGAATCAATCTTCAATCCAGTGCAATTCTCTGAAGGGTATTACATGTACACAATTACGCACATGAACAAAAATGTGAGAAGTGCGGAGTCTAAACATTTCAGCAACACAACAAACATGCCACATTATTTGCCCGATCGTGTCCTGATAACCTGTGAAATGTGAATCTGCATTCTAGTATACATGAACATGTACATATAGATTAGACCTTGGCCTTCGGGAGTATTGCATGCACTGTACATGACACGTACTACATTTACATGTACGGTACTTTGTTTGTACAAAACTATAAATTTAAAGCTTTGAACATCGGAAGTTGTTGACCCCAAAACTATCCACTTGATGACATCATCTTACATGTATGTGGAGTTTGCATATATTCACAATGACTTTGCATTAAGTAATCACAGCTCATCGCCACATTAATGTAGGCGAGCCGGTCGTTCCCCATGTCATGTCATCACGGTAACTGGCAAATTTGACCCCTGTTGTCCCCTAATTTGGAGGGATCATGCGGAACATTAGGTTTTAATTTGCTTTTGTGTAATACTGAGAGGTATAATATTTGTCATTCCTTTATATTTGTATTCTACATTCATTCAGCTTTCCATTGATATAAAGTTGTATTTCCATTGGATAGGGTCTTTATTAAAGTGGCCAGCTTCTTTTTGAAAGGCCACCACTCCATATCAGTATCTTCTAATGTTTGTATGCCCCTTGAACTTAAAAATGGGGTCTACATGTGTTGCAGAACATGGCACATGTACTGTAGAAAGGCCACCTGTGTACAGTTGCCACTTTTTCTGTTTCCCTTGGATGGCCTATTTTTTCTTTCAACAAATCTTTTGAAGATGATTTTGTTGATAAATGTTACCTTTCTAAACACACACAAAGAACCTGTATACTGCTTGATAAACTATTGAAGATAAAGTTGAGTTCTGGGCATGAGATTGCATTGTGGTAGCATTGGTGTGTACTGCAAGCCTTGCAAGGTTCTGGAATCATCAAAATGATAAGAAATTTGGCCCAGTCTTGGTAAAGTTACGAGTACTATACACAGAAAGATGTAAATGGGGCTACATCTGTCCCGATTTTTATGTTGTTACATGCCATATCTAGAATATGAAAGAATTTGAAGAGCCATGCTTTTCAGGAAACATTTTTCTCTGATGTTTTATAATATCAATGATTAAGCTCACAAATTATTTTTCACCTCTTCCCAGAACTCAATGTAATTACCGGTATTTCATCCATAGCAGGACTCCACTTTTCTTTTCAATTTAACAAAATAAAAAAAAAGTAAGAAAAGAAAACCCCAACTTGCTTCCATAATATCCCATTACCTGGTTGCAAGCAGGATGTTTTTTTTACATTGTCAGCTTATAAATACATTTAAGTGCATTCTAGATCCTGATCCTGAGAAGAAAAAAGAGATACCAGCTAACAGTTCTGGGATTACATAAAGTGTATATACATGTACATGTACTGTACCTCACGAGTTGGGGAAGTACAGTACACAACAAGGAAGGTATTCATGTCAATCGAATGTTGCTAGGGCATTGTGTTAGGGCCCTATTTGTAGCCCGTCTACAAAGCGTTTAATATCAACAACGTTTCGGTGTGACAAGTTTTGAGGTTCGACATTGACTCTGGACTGTAGTTCCTGTGATGAGTGAGGGGCTGTGAGAGATTGTTTTTGGTGTCTACCGTACTTGAAAGTGCCCCTCCTACCATAAATACAGTCCTGCATTGGTGAAAGAACAGAGCGCAGAGGCACCTGGTTGGGTTGTACAGAAGTAGGTGAAATCTCTTTGCTTTATGAATATGAGAAGGGGTAGTGTTTCATAGGTTGGTGCAATAGGTCTCCTGCAGAGGTTTAAACGTAAACAATCCCAGATTATGTGCAGAGTTTTTTAAAGGTGTTTTGCAAACATGCTCACAAATATGTGTAAGTGACTTTCATGCACAGCTGTGATGTGAAAAAATCTCAGATATTTCCCATCTTAGATATGTGTACTTCCATTTGTCAGTACATTTCTTTGATGGGATTTTGAAACATCATGTTATACACATATGGATCCAGAGCCCAGGAGGACATTAACTTTACATGCATGTGTATTAAACACAGAGTTAATACCTTTCTGGCTTCTAACATTTGATATTTTATTTGTATACATGGACATAATTCTTCTTCTGAAATAATATGATTATGGCATCAGAAAGGTGATTACAATTGTAATCTGAGTGAGTAGAAAACTTTTCTTTTTGTCCACTTGAGCTCTTTAAACAAAATTCTTGAAGTGATTTATGTTATTTGATTGTTTATTGGAGTGGCTTCAGTTGTTTTGGGCCATAAACCAGGCCCTTTCCGTGACTGTCAGGGCTGGATTTGATGTCTCTCATCCAGTTACACTGATCCCTACATGTGAGACAAAAGTACAGAATTTCCATTCTCTTTGACATACTGAAAATCTACTTTTGCCAGTTTTAGAAAGATGGCTTGAATTTCATTTTTTTCCCTTCATAATTGAATTTTACATGAAGTGAAATTTCATGCCACAGCTCAATCTTCCCTAAAAGATAAGTATCTTTAAATAGGACTACATGTAGATCGAGTCTTGTGCTTAGAATTCCAATTTGCTTTCAAGCGGGTGAAGTTCTTTGAGGTTCTTTTGTCACAGGATCATGTTCATGGTCACATATTTAATACAATGGCGATCGTGATTGTGCACATCGCCTTCATTTTTGAGACGAGAAATACTCAGGAGTATGTACTGTATGTACAATAGAATCTCCTAACTGTACATACTTCTAACTGTACATACTTAATTCTGCTGTAAATTGAAGAAAAAAATGATACAATATACCGGTAAACATATCGCCTTGTGTGAAAAAACTACCTGGTATTAAATGTACATGTACATTTAGGCCCTTATGTAACACCATAGGACCAGTCTTGCAAAGGAAGTACCATAGGGTCATTGTAGTCACCCATCATGCAATTTAGTGGGCAAAAAAGATACTTGTA